TTGTCTTGCAGCCATTCATTTAGTGACCATTCAAAGTGACAATAGTGTGGGAAAAAGTAACTTATGGTTGGTTCTCACACTTATGACCATTCAAGCAGGCCCATGGTGACGTGATCAAGATTCAGACACTTGAAAACTGACATGTGTTTATGATGGTTCCACTGAGATCATGTGATCACCATTTGTAACCTTCCCAGCCAGCTTTTAACAAGCAGTCAATGGGGGAAGCCAAACTTGCTTAACAATCACGATTCACTTAACAACTGTGGCAAAACAATTGTAAAATGAGATGTAACTTATTTAACAACTACCTTGCTTAGAATGGAAATATTAGGCTCAGTGGTGGCCATAAGTCAAGGGCTACCTGCATTATTAGCAACATTAGATAGTCCTCAACCTATGACAATTAAGCCCAAAATTTGTATTGCTAAGCAAGACAGTTAAGTGATTTTTGCTCCAGTTTATGATCTTTCTTGCCACAGTTGTTAAGAGAATCACTGTATTTGTTAAATTAGCAACATGGTTGCTAAGTGAAACCGGCTTCCCCACTGACTTTGTCAGGTTGCAAAAGGTGATCATGTGGCCCTGCATCACTGCAACCGTCATAAATGTGAGTCAGTTGCTAAGCATCTGGATTTTGATCACATGACCATGGGGTTGCTGCAATGGCCATCAGTGTGAAAAAGTCTTAAGTCACTTTTTTTAATGCAATTTTACTTACAAATTGTTGTAAGGCGAGGATTACCTGTAATTGATTGCTTTGAGCCCCTGCTCTCTTTTCACCAAGTTTGCTTCCATTACACTGAAAAATATTCAACACTAATCGTAAAATGGTTCCATAACAATCAAAACAAACCTCAGCTACAGTTAATCCTTGACTTATGACCAGAATTGAGATTAGAATTTCAGCTGCAAGTTGAAGCATGTGACTAGATTCAAGTTATGACCATTTTTATGATGCTCGTTAAGTTAATTCCATGATCATTAGTTGAATCCATTCTTCCTTCTGTGTCTGTGTCCATCACAACTCCGAAAGTAGATCATACATAGCTCTGGGGAGATTTGTTATACTTTTGAATGATCATTGACTAGTCCTAAATTGAGGACTATCTATATTAGCTATTGTGCCATCTCTATTTGCTCAATTTGTTGTCTGCAGCTGAGCAATAATGAGAGTCATTGTTCAATACATCTGGAAGAAACCAGGTAGGAGAAGGCTAACATCAAATCCCGCAATTCATTTTCCTCTCAGATGCACAACTAAAAGGTGCAAATTCCCACAGATGTTATTTTAGAACTTTGGACAGCTCTGTGTTATAGTAGCTGAGAACAGTGCTGTCAGGTGTATTGACAATGACTATATAGTGGTACAGCAGTAGAATTCTAGAATTAATCTCTGCAGAAGAATTCTTACTCATGCAGAATTAGAGAAGTTCTTGAAAGGAAGTTACCAGAATAAATATATACCTCTGTGAAACAAATATTTTTTTAAAGCTCTGCGAAGGTTAGTACCATTAATCTAAACAGGGAAGACAGGTATCAAGCTGAATCAATATCCTCAAATTAGCAAAGTACTCGTTTTCAGTAAGAGTTCAAATGCTACAATTTTTTATTTCAGTAAATATTCTGAACTTAATTGGCTTAAATGGACCAAGGTGTTTCCAAAGAAAAAAGAAAAAAAGAAAAAAGATCAGGATGCCATTACCACATACTTTAACTGTTTATTTATTCCCTGTCTAGGCAGCCTGATTTAGGAGCTATAAAATGCAATCAGTACACAAACCAGAAGCTGGAATCATCTGCTAATGGAACTTTTAATTGAGAAGTGACCATTGACATGAGGTAATTCTTTCCATGCAGAATTGCTCACAGAGACCTTTCTGCACTTTATCACAGTAAACAATCGCTAACATATGCATTAAAGAAAATTTAAATACATTATGACCCAATAAATATCACAATCAATCAATAGAATCTTTTCACTCTCAAAGATTTAGTGTTAAAATACCACACTTTTAGCAGTGTTTTAATGCTGGACACATACTTACAAATGCTGATAGTAAGTTTAGTCATTTGTAATGAAAAGATAATTGGTTATATGAAAGAATCTACCATCAAGAAAAGTATTAGTTGAATTTTTTTTAAAATAAATTTCTATTAGAGTTAATTAAAATGTGTTGCATATTATTGAGTTTTCACCTTTCTGAATATTAGCCAGTTTTGTAAATCAGAAGTGATTTATGTGTATTACACAAAGAGTGCTTTGTGTAATTAAAGCAGGCATTTCTAGTAAATAAGTGAAACAAGATAGTTACATTTTTTAGATTTTTAACATTAGGAGTTTTGAACTTTAAAAAGGTGTCTTTGATAGGTAATTTAGATGAGAAAAAGTTAGCACAGCTTTTACAAGTGAAACACCAAGCTCAGAAGGTTTACTTGCTCAAAATATATTAACATTTCTATTGCCCATTGGGTTTTTCTAGAATGACGCCTCTTATTTGAGAATTATATTAAAAAATCATCAAGTTTTATTTCCATTATGAAATATTAGTATTAGAGTAAGAAGCCTGTTTTTGCCTATTAGGAAGTTCTTAAAAGCTGTAGGAGTCCTAATGCTTTTACAAAAAAATTGGCAAAATAAAGTTAGATATACACAGTAGAAGTAGTCCTCGACTTATGACCACAATTGAACCCAAAATTTCTGTTGCTAAGCAAGACAGTTGTTAAGTGAGTTTTCCTCCATTTTACAACATTTATTGCTACTGTTGTGAAGTGAATCACTGCAGCTATTAAGTTAGCAACTCAGTTGTTAAGTGAATCTGGCTTCCCCACTGACTTTGCCTGTGAGAAGGTCACAAAAAGTGATCGCATGACCTCAGAACACTGCAACCGTCATTAGTACATCTAAATTTTGATCACATGACCATGGAGATGCTGCAACAGTCGTAAATGTGAAAAACAGTCATAAGTCACTTTTTTCAGTGCTGTTGTAGCTTTGAAGGTTATTAATGAACTGTTTTAAGTCGAGGACCACCTGTATGCAGAGTCAAGACTAAATACGATCAAAATATAAGAACAGCATGTCAAACTTGACCCTGGATCAAAATGGGAACCTAATTTTATTAACATAATAACCATGATTGTTTAAAACATACTTAACTGCCCTATGACTATCTAAACATAAAATATACGTAAATTATTCAATTTTAATATATTCCACTTCCAGTAACACTGTAACATAAACACAGTTCTTTTGGTTTATATGAGTGAGAAACTGCTTGAATCTAGCACTTCTTTTATAACATGGGCCACATTCACACAAGGACTTTTATTAACATACTGAATCACCTTAGAAATAGTTTGCAAATGGTGCAATGGAAGCATTTTTATAAATGGATGAATAATTATTCAACTAAAGTCACAATTTGGACAGGGACTGAAAAATAAGGTATGGATTGAACAATAAGAACGTGCCTTATCTTCTTGCTGAATGCCACTTAATAGATGTTTCTGCACTTGGATGTAGCTAATTATTAGATAACACCATCATTCTGTCCCCACATAAGCACTGAGCACACACTGCAGGACTTTTCTACCTTCTTCTGAGTGACCAGTTCTTTTCATGTCAAGGTTTAGTGTGTGATTCAGTTTATCTCAATCAGACAAAGTTTTTTTTGTTTAAAAAGATAGCATCTAGGCAAATGTCCTTGATTCTGCATAAATGTATTTACAGAGTATGGAAGTATGCCTCCCCCCTATTTTTCACCTTTCCCAATCACTTATAGAAATGTGCGAATGTGCACCTGAATGGTGCTTAAGTTACACCAATGAAACAAACATGATGGGTTATTTTTATTTGATTTATATAGAAGCCCATCTCACACTTACATGATTCAAACAAATGTAAGCACAAAATAGACAATATAAAAACAAATAAAACACATTAGTTGGAATAAGCGTGCTACAAAATACTTTCTGATATTTTGCCACCAGAGACCAATATGGCTTCTCTCCTACAAGGTCTACAATATTTTAAAGTGTACACTGCTCATTTGGAGGTTAACCAATTTAATAAATGAATAGAGTAGCCACAACTGTAAAACAGGTACTTTTAAATCAAAATTTTACTGATAAAGGTATAGATTTTTGTAACAATATATTTTTATCTTAGTTACCATTAAAAAGGGTAAAAAATACACTTTTTTGCTAAGCTGTAGTGCAGTTATTTCTTTTTCTGATTCACAGATGGTGTTCTCTGTATTGCTTATTGTCATCTTTCATATCCTTGTGTGGGTGTATGATATGCACCATTTTGCTGTAAATACAACAGGAATGGAAATATTAAAATAAATAAGAGTCTTGAGAAAATGGGAGTAAGACCATCCCAAGGTCTCCCAGCTGGGCTTTGTGGCTAAGGAGGGAGAAGAACTCAAGGTCTCTTGGTTTCTACTCTGATGCTTTAACTACTAACAAAATTATTAGACATAAATACAGACTTCAAACATGCTAAACAAGTTGTACAGTTACTCCATCTACAAACTATGCCCATGTTTTTAATATTTCTCCAGTTATGGCTATACCTATATCTTTCCCATTTTTAACACTGTTCACGGAATCTATGACCTTTTTATCTATTCGTTTCTTGGATAATAACACAGCATTCCAAGTGCTATTAAAAAGCATAATAACCAGAGAAAAATCAGACCAATGGATATAAATGCTAGCATATAACTCAGTCCTTTAAAAGCTGATTCCTGTTTCTTTTGCATTTCCCTTCTGCTTGCTGCAAAGTGTTATGAATCCATTTCAGAGATAAAAATTGTCAGAGAGGTAAAGTACAGCAGATAAACATAAAAATCTATGTATATATTTTGAAACAAAAGGAGAAATATATACAAACCTGCTTGCGTCACTCAGATTATTCTATTAAATCTTGACATAACGCCTGTGTGTATTTTGGGGAATTCAAGTAATGTATATATTCATTCATATATATTTACCTTTCCAAGCATCCGCCCAAGAAAGTAATAGTGCCGTGCATAAGAACCTCCAACCAGCATTTGTGCAGCAGGATTTGGATAAAGCAGTCCTTCATTAGTGGTCTTAAAAAAACCCTGGTTAGGGTTAAATCCTGATTTAAGTAGTTCGTTCAAAAATTCTCGGAATATTCCACCCCCATCGATACCAGCTTCATCTAGACCATGGGCATTGAGTAAATGAACACGAATTCGCTTTTTCAAATCAGGTTCTGGAGAAATAAAAGAAAGACTATAGAATAAACTATGAATATATTAAACACATCCAAATCCACAAAAAGTTGATTGTGCAAACAGCATTAAATAGTATTTAAATTTATCTAAACCTACCAACACCATCTGCTCTCAGCAGTGCAGAAAACTGCATATTGCTACCATTCCACCCCACTCGTTCCTAGTTGAAATCAAAACAATATACAATCTAGAAAAATTAAATTCATTCCTGAAATATGTATTTGAAACCATATGGTGTAGATTTTTCTGGAGCTCATAGCGGCCCTCCAAATCTATTGGTTAAAGTTTCAAGAATCCTGACCATTCCTCAGTTCACTGGGGCTAATGAAAGCTTTAGCCTAAATATCTGGTTTCTGTCTAGGCTTTACACTAAGAATTCACATGCAGAGGCTACATCAAAGAAGATGACAAAGCAGCTATTATTCAAGGGCTATTCAAAGGGGTCTTGACTTAAATGTATCCTCCTTCTATGTTGGTATGTTTTATATTTAGGCCTTTATTTCTGTTCAAGCATTCACATATTTTTGTAAGATAACTGCCCTCTGATCTTTTAAAATATGTCTTCAAATGTCTTGACACAGAAAAATAACACACATTTTGCTGCAGAGTCATTTCCCTTTCCCCCTTGAAAACTAAGCCAATATTCGTATCTCGATTTTTTTCTCCCAATATATCAGAATAATTCATTTGTCCAGTAGTAAGTTGTTCCAAAATCTAATCTGTTAAATATTAGAAATATTTCCAGGAAATTCTGGTCTCCCATTCACATTAGTTGAGAATTTACACCCACAGTATATGCAATATTGTAATGGAATAAGAGAATGACCTTAGAAGATGGAGGAAGAAGAAATTACATCAATCTTGAAAGTTTTAAAGCACAAATTTCCGGTCCTCTCTTTATATTGCCTGATAAATTACAGCAGATGATTTCTAACTTCCTTTTTTCTGCTGTTTCTCACAAAGCAGCGTGAGCATTTCTTCCTCACCCCCACCAAATCCTCCAAGGCCATTTTCACATTCCATTACAAATAATTTATTCTAAAGTTCTAAAGAAAATAGTTCAACTGTTGAAATTATTGTAACATTCATACAACGATTTCCTCTTAATAAATACTATCTTCTTTAAAAGTTGGCTACTAAGAATATGAGCTCTGACCACGGCAGGAAATAATTTCTAACTGTATCTTAAAAGTAGCCCAAAATGTTTAGTTTAAAATTGCTCTTTTACTCAAGATCATAGGAACAGATCCATCGTGTCATTTTTCTTATACAGATATAAATCAATCTGTATTTTAATGCATCCCACGGTTTCCAACAAGCTTTTAATTTCATGACTGACTTTTCTACAGTTTTCACAAATTTTCTAATTACTTTATTTGGGGAAAAAAATGATAAATGACATCATATAAAGCAGATAGTGAAAACTATCTGATTAATAAAAAGTAGACAGCCAGTGAGGTATAGCAGTAAAGCTCTGGGACCCAGGAAATTCCTGACTCTGGGAAATTCTAGTCCATCCCTGTGGAAACACGTAGATTATTTCAGGTTCATCATCATGCTCACTTTGACCAACCCATGTGACAGGGCTGTTGTTGCATGGAAAATATGAGGCTGGAACATTATGCATGTCACCTTGCTCTCCTCTATGAAAAGGTGGGATGTAATAATTCTAATAAATAAATATTCTGTCCGTTCATATATAACAAACTCCAAAAAGATTAACACACAACAAGCTTTTTAATAATCTAAAAGAAAAGTTTTAAAATGCTGCTGAAAAATAGTTCCATCATTGTAAACTATGATTTCTTTTTTAAAAAAAATCTCAAACACATGGAATGTTTAAAGTTGTACAGCATTTTACAATATATGAATTCATCTTCTAATATCCCCCGATCTAAGAGTAAGATTTCCATGCCCCCCAATTATTTTTTTATAGTTCCCAAGATAAATCATTTGATCAATTTATAAATACCGTACCATTTTCAGGAGAAAGTTTATCGTATGCATCTTCATAAATATAATTTCTTCTAATGGTAACATTAATTCCATCCAGAAAAGGGCCTTCTCCTTGTACTTCCTGCTTGTCCGCATAGATCAGTCTTTGAAAGATCTTGTATGGAGTAAGTCATGAAAGGGAAAGTAATTACACTTAAGTATGGATTTTCAATACAAAATAATTCAGTAGCATTTTAATTTCATTATATAGTGGTAAGATTTTGGAAATTTGTGATGATAAGATTTTTTTAAAAAAAAACTACCAGTAGTATTTTACATGCCTTCATACAAAACAGCTTGCACTTGAACAGAAGCTTAAAGTTACAAGACTCTTGCCACTCCTAATACTTCCACATGAACTAAGCAACACATTTCCCCTACATTTATCAATGTCCTTTTCAATAACAGTGATTTATATCTCTCATGAAACTATTTTCCATTTCCCTTATAGTATAAGTACATGTTGACAGCAGCACAATTCTTGGAATTCAGTTTGCTAATTAGCTGAAAGCTGTAGCGTTAACAGAAATTGTTTATGCTGTTAATTTTTAAATGAAAATGATGAGGAAAACCTGGTTTATATGATAATCACTTATGTCTTCAAAAATCTAAACTACAAAATTTTAAACAATTTATCGGTATAGCATGGATAAAAAAAATTAGTACAAACTATTCTAGATGGTTTCAATAGATACAAAAACATTCTAATCTCCTCCAACCATGGAACTGAGACGCCTAACTTGCAAAATTTAGACCTCACTAAAAGTTTTGCAGTTGATCTCTTATGGGCAAAGATACTGTATATGTATCCTTTCTTTCACGGAGCACATAGCTCAGGACTTAAGAGGTGAGCAAAAATTTGAAATATTTAGAATTTGAAACAATTGCTCCGAATTTGAAATGGCCTGGCCTGACTACATACAAATAACTTCAAGTTCAGCCAGTAATTTCAGAATGGCAGCACCAGAACAGAAATAAGAACAAACCATTTCAAATTCAAAATAGCAAGAAACATTTCCATTCCAAAATGTTGTGTACTCCTTTGTCAATAATATACTGTACTTTCAACAATGTTTAAAACTTTGTTAAAAATTACAAGGTTTAAAAAAGATAAAGTACCTTTACTCTTTCTTCAAAAGGAACCACAAAAGGCAGCTCTGTCAATATTGCAAGCTGTCGCTCCTCCGACACAGAAAGAGGGGCTGGATCCAATCCCACTTTTAAATAAACAAAGAGATCAGAATTTAGCTTTATTGTGTAGTACAATATGCTCTTTTCCATTCTTCCTCAACTGGTGAGGACCCTATTACGTACAGCAGGAATGGGCAACCTGGCGTTCTCCATATAGTCTGAATTACAAGTTAGTCCTCAACTTACAACCATTTGTTTAGTGATTGGTCAAAGTTAAAACGCACTGGAAAAAGTGATTTATGACCATTTTTGCAACTATTGCAGCACTCCCATGATGTTACATGATCACAATTTGAATACTTGGCAACTGGTTCATATTTATGACAGTTGCAGTATCCTAGGGTCATGTGAACACCTTCTGAGAAGCAAAGTCAATGGGAAAGCCAGATCCACTTAACAACCGTGTTCCTAACTTAACAACTGAGTGATTCATTTAACAATTATGAAAGAAAAGTCCTAAAATGGACTTAACAACTGTCTTGCTTAGCAACAGCAAGAGAAATTTTAGAATTGTGTTCATAAGTCTAGGATTACCTGTACAGATCCCATTAAAGCCATACTAGTGTAGCCTAAATATTAGAATTCTTTACGCAGTTTAAATAAAATTGGAAAAAAACTTGAAAGCTGCTTAGTTCAACAAGAGAACCAAGTATCACTTTTTATTTATTTATTAGTTAAATATATATGCCAACCAGGTTTCAGAAGTCTATTTGGAGAGTTTTAGCTTATACAGATAAATCTGGCTATTCTTATTTATTTTACTGTTATTTATGGATTTATACAATTTAGAGGCTGCCCAAAGCCATACAGTTCTGGGCAGCTGACAGCATTTAAAACAGAAAAGTATAAAATAAAATCAGAGATCATGTGTGTTCAGAAGGAAACCACACAATAGAAAATGTTGAACAGCAGACAGATGACCTTGGGTAAAATATGCAATGACCATTAGTAAATAGGAGCTCTCAACTTTGGAAAGCAAGAAAGCAGCATGAGGAAGAGGCTAAAAATTGCCTCACTTTTGACTCTCTTTGGTTTAAGAGAGAGGGATGAGGAAATTTGATTGAGCTTCCAAGATTCTATTAGCATAGTCTAAAAAGGCCAACACAGTGCTGGGCTGCATTAACAGAGGGATAGAATCAAGATCACGTGAAGTATTAATACCACTTTACAATGCCTTAGTAAGGCCACACTTGGAATACTGCATCCAGTTTTGGTCACCGCGATGTAAAAAAGATGCTGAGACTCTAGAAAGAGTACAGAGAAGAGCAACAAAGATGATCAGGGGACTGGAGGGTAAGGCATATAAGGAACGGCTGCTGGAATTGGGTATGCCTAGTTTAATGAAGAGAAGGAAGAGGGGGGACATGATAGCAGTGTTCCAATATCTCAGGAGCTGCCATAAAGAAGAGGGAGTCAAGCTATTTTCCAAAGCGCCTGGAGGCAGGGCGAGAAGCAACGGATGGAAACTAATCAAGGAAAGAAGCAACCTAGAACTCAGGAGAAACTTCCTGACAGTTAGAACAATTAACCAGTGGAACAACCTGCCTCCAGAAGCGGTGAAAGCTCCAACACTGGAAGTTTTTAAGAAGAGACTGGACAGCCATTTGTCTGAAATGGTATAGGGTTTCCTGCCTGAGCAGGGGGTTGGACCAGATGACCTCCAAGGTCCCTTCCAACTTTATTATTATTATAAATAAAGTAGTATTCTAATATTTCTTGTGTATCTGTTTCCTGACCTAGCCTACCCCAAAGGGCCAAAAGCCGTTCTCAGAGCCTTCTGAGGAGAAACCATTAGTGTCTCTGGGGGATACTATTCCAAAGAGCAAGTGCTGCAACATGGAAGGTAACTTTCTCTTCCTGTTGTGCCTTTCCTACTACAAGGCGTTTTACAACCACAAGTGGAACCAGAATTTCCACTGCTAAGCAAGGTAGTTGTTAAGTGAGTGACACCCAATTTTACAACCTCTTTTGCCATAGTTGTTAAGCAAATCACTGTAGTTGTTAAAAGAATCATGCAGTAATAAAGTGAATCCAGCTTTCCCTATTGACTTTGCTTGTCAGAAGCCGGCTGGGAAGGTTGGAAATGGAGATCACGTGACCATGGGATGCTAGAATTGTTGTGAATATGTGCCGGTTACCAAAAAGCCTGAATTCTGATCATGTGACGGTGGGGATGCAGCAACAATTATAAGTGCAACGATTGGTCGTAAGTCACTTTGTTCAGCACCATTGTAACTTCAAACAGTCACTACACAAATTATTGTTAAGTCAAGGAATACTTATATATCCAGCAAGTTGCTCCCAAAGTTTGGAGACACTGGGGGTGATATAAAATAAAGGAAACTATGGAAGGAAAGTGAAGGAAAACTTAGCAACAAAAGCATATGTGAGTATAGCTGAAAATGAAATTTTTCAAGACAAGAATGATTTTGAAAATACAGATGTTACACCTCAAAAAAGACATTCAAGGACTGTGGGAGAATTATAAATATTCTTGAAAGAGTTGTCTATTACAATAAGATACACTTTTTAATCTATCAAGTTTTTGGAATCAAATTGCAGGAGAACATTGCAAAATAGTCTGGGGTGTTTTTTTCCCAGAAACAATCTGACATAAGAAATGCTACTTCTAACCTTCAAGTTAATTTTAATTAGATCAATTCAGAAGAACATCTTCACTGTAAAATGAACCTTACAAGAGTGATAACTTCAATAAATAGCCATTTTTGGTACTTCGACTTTCCAAGCATTTTATAAATTTTCAGCAAACATTTTCAATTAGTCAAGATAGGTAATTGATTATGCTAAGGGTTAAAAGCATTTTGAAAAGAGAAACTGCATGTACAGCAAAGGTAAGCCACTAACTTCAGCAGTTCAATTATTCTAGCCAATTAGTCAATTTTATCCAGACTGCCCCATCAACAGTTATTTATTTGAAGAGAAATATGGGATTGAGTCATCAATACATAAGACATTTAGAACAAAAGAGCTTGCCATTTAAGTAAATGAGAATACATAAGTAACATGTCATGTGCAAGTCAGTGACTCTTTCACACTAATTGTGTTTAACTCATGAGGAGTCAAGTGGAATTAAACAAATCAAAAGCACACTCTTATGCACCTGTTTTTACACAATCATTGTAACTGCATCTTTTTTCATTCTAAGTTCCTTCATGGATCATTTTTAGAGAAAGATTGGTCTCTTTTAAAGAGAGATACCATTATTTAAATAAAAAATAGAAATGCAAACAATCAAATCTGATATTGAGTACAGTTGTCTCCTGCACAACTTAGTTTTAACAACAAATCATTTCTTACCATCCAAAGTTGACTGCAAGGGTCCTATCCTTCCCATTCTCCTCACTCTCCATACATGTCTTGCTGATGGCACATAAAGCTGTGTAACCTAGCAATACATTAAATATCACGATTAAATGTCTTGGGCTGAAACCTTAAAAGTAAATTATTAGTATGCATGTTAATTTTTAAGAAATTCCTAGGTTTAGATGTAAAAACAGCTTAAATATGTAAATTTAACATGAAAAAAGCTCTATTCCGTTTTTTTAAATAAAAAGTAACCTCTATATTACCTTATCTGCTCTAATGTTTTCTTGTAATGACAGCCAGTGATCTGGTGGGCAAAAATTCCTTCTTGTATCTCTAGATTTCAGCATTTTCACCAAATTAGTGATTACCTAGACGGTTAAAACAGCCGCTATGAAGTATTTTTATGTAGCAAGACAGAAAACAAGGATCAATTATAAACAGAATTAGTATTTGTATCAGTATGTTTATATCTAGTACACACGTATTAGGTTTATGTGTATGTGAGAGACTAACAATCCAATCTCTTGGATTTGAACATCCCAGATCCCTACCCATCATGGCTGATTCCAGAACACAAAGACAATAAATCCTCCTCTGCATTTTCATAGCCTTTAGGTCAAAATCAAATATCTCCCTCAAGTAGCCCAGACATTGGACAAATTTTGTGGGGAAAAAATATCAACTGTTTTAAATAATTAAAGTAAGTATTGGCAGAGTTAATAATTCATCATCTTCATTTTAGCCAGTCTATCCACTTCAGGATGAAGGTCTCTTCCTCATGTTTCCAATATTATGTTTTTAAAAGTAACTGTGAACAAGAATTAAATAGAATCTTAAAATAATCAATCCATTATTAAAATATAACATTGGATTAAGATTATCTATTAAGATGAACAATTCATTTTGGTGGTGGCTTTCAACTGCAAATATTGTTAAAAAATTGTGATTTTATATGCTTCCTTTCCACAAGCTTTAACATGGCTTCTTCTGCACCTTAGTAAGTAAAAAACAATCCATAAATATCTAACCTTTCATAAACTTTCATAAAGTTCAATAAACATTAACATTAATTTTGACTGCACTAATCCCATAAAATAATCATTATATTGGTATGAAGCTTTAAGGATTTGAAAGTAATTAATTTAAGAAGAACTGAAAAGTAGTTAAAGATTGAGTATCTTTCATTTTGTGTGTGTGTGTGATAACTAAGTTTCTACACACATTTTGAACAGGAAAAAATAGATCATTGTGAAAGGGCTCCCTGGCTGTTATGTAACCAATATGCATTCCTTTTTCATTTGTCTACTTACCCCTACAGATAGGAGATCTCTGACCTTCTCAAAGATCCTTGTTTTTGTTGTAAATCACATGAATATTATTGAAAGATGAACATTTATTTTGTCACAATACAAGCATTAAAGTTTATATGTTTCATTTGTATCTATTCTTCTATATACACATACTACAGAAATTATTCACGCTATTAAAGAATGCCTTTTGGGACAAACCTTGCACAGCTCATTTTGTTATTAAAATGCATACAAAGAACTACACACAGAGAGAGACACACTTGTTAATTTTTGTTTTATATTTGCTAACTCTACAACTGGCTTTTTCCTGTGTACCTTTCATCATTCCACACATGGATTTTCTTCCCCCAGATTTGACCAATTATACTTACTGTTAATATTCTAAGTAAATATAGCTCATCTTGCAGATTTCAACATTGTAAGCTCGCTGGATGCAACCACACAGCACAAATTGTGTTTCTAGCAGGAATTTTGGATTTAAATTCCCAAAATTCCGAGCCATCATGGGCCAGTATCTTTGGAGGACATCAGCTTGGGAAAAATTGGCATAACACCAGAGCACTTCACATTTCTGTAATATGTAAGCATACTGGGTCCATATTCACAGATTGTAAACTTTACTAGATAACAAATGGATACGTAATTAAAATTGCAATCTTTTATTACATCTCCATAGTATCTTGCCCTGCTTTTGTACAATATTCAACACAATCAAAACATTATCAGCTACTCTCATTGCTGCTAATGTCCATAATGTTCATTGCTGATAAGTGAAATGTCTTGTAAAAATCGGACAAAATGGGTGGGATAAAGGCTATTGTAGACTTGTAGAATGAATAAGCATTCCTTAATTAGCCCATCAGGTTAAGTGCAAGCATTAATGGGTCTTTCCTAAAGTCTAGCTTGACATTTTTCTCCAAACATGGCCAAGAAGAAAGTTCCATTAGCAATATTAATACAAGCTTAGTTGATCATTTTCATTCAATTAACTTCTTTCAATTAAATAGATAGCTTGACAAAAACAGTGATAAAAGACCTAAAGGGACAGCTGATGACTCGAACTGAACATTAGTGTGCAAGAGGTCGGTGGTATTAAACGGACTGTAAATCTAGCATTTAATTTGGAAAATGCATTTCTTCTGCTTCCACTCCTTTAATGAGTAATTTTAGCTGACTGTGAGTGTTTGCTGCAGACATTTCATGGCAAGTCAAGCACTTTCTTAGGAAACAGTTACATCCTGAATTGCTACCCTATTGCCTTTCATGTATATCGCTGGGAGGTTGGAAAAAATTAAACTACATAAACATCTGATGATTATTATAGAAAAGTTTAATTCAAAAATACTCTTGAACTATCTTGGCTGCCATGAACAATGGTACTAGCAGTCAGGAAACAGACACCATAGAGATTCCAGGAATCCTACTTTATTACTGCTGGATCAGGAATTCTGGGAGTTGAAGTCCACGAGTCATAAAAGAGCCAAGGTTGACTACCCCTGCTGTAGGCGATGATTACATAATTAAAAGCCTATCAGAATTTCTCTCTTCCCCAATTTATACCAAATAGAATCAAGCTGGGGTAATTTTGAGGTTCTTTCTCATGCCTTCTCAGGACTGAATTGCCATTCCTCCGCCCTTACTGGTTTATCCATTCCTTCCCCATGGTCTTCTTCATATGGGAAAAATACAAGTAATCTTCCAATATGCAGCCTAGCTTGTTAATTCTGCCTATCGGCTTCCTCAATTTTAGAAGTTCAAAAATGCTCAAAATGGCTTACATGACATCACAGACCAAATTACTAGTATATTAAATAGGGTATGTAAGAGCTCCCAAAGGATCTCAATGAATTATCCAAAGACCTGAAATATGCTGTGAGAAAATGAAGAAGCTCATTAAGTATTAGCCAGCTTGGATGAAGGATCTCTAGGGTAACCTCACCTGAAGCCATCCTGAGCACATGTAGTATATTTCCCCTTAAACAAAGGGTCTGTGGTAATTTATTTTTTTAAGCTATCCATCTCTGAGGTTTTATCCTGAGAATAGTATATTCAGATCTAAATATTCCTTATGTATAAACATGTGATAATAAATGCATTGGAATATATTCCGGAAAGACCAAAATCTGCAAGAACATATTGAATACATATCAAATATCAGCTGCTAAATCAAAGCTTAAAGTAATATTTATTTTATATTAATTCTCTTTTGACATGAAACCTTAAGAAATCTACTCTTGGAAAAAAATAGATGCATTTTTACCATAATTTCTTTCAATATTCAAAATTTCCCAGCCAGCAAGCCTGCTGAGAATTTTGAGAGCTGAAGGCACATACTGTTTCCCCAAAAATAAAACCTATCCAAAAAATAAACCCTAGTTAAGACCCCACCCACTCCATCCCATTATCTGGTTGCTCACTGCTGCAATGGGGCAGGGGGCTGCGTGGCGGCCGCGAGTTGAGGTACAGCAGGTGGGGGGTTGGGTGAAGCTGCCCCACGCCCTGGTACCTGCTTATCTCAGGGCCTCCGCAACCAGGCTACTTCCCGCTCAGCGATCTCACCCCACCCATTCAATGACCCGGTTGCCCGCCCACCCACCTCTTCCCTTTCACTCCCTTCCCAAGCCAGACTCCCATACTACGGAGGATGGACGGGGCAGGCTCAGTCATCTTGCCCAGTCCATTTCCGTTTCGGAGCCAGGGAGGAGTGACGGCAAAAGACTGTGCCACCGCTGCACAATAGCCACGTCTGCCACTGGAGGGGCTTTCTTCGGTTTCGCTCCCCCTGCTTCACCCCGCAGATCACCTGCCCAGCAGGTGCCTCCTTCTCCTCCACCAACTCTCCCCTGGCTTGCGCCGTGATGAGGCAGCGCAAGCCTCCCCTGCTGCCTCCTTCCGCCAGTCCTGGTATAACTGCTCCGGCTGCCGCCGCTGCTGCTACAAGAGAGAATGGAGAACGGGGAGAGGGGGGCGGCTTTTGTTGGGCAGCTGACCAAAGTTTTTACACCAGACAAACACAGGTCTCTGGGGATTAGGATAGAGCCCAAAGAGCAACTTAAGGACACATAAAGGCATGCGCTTCCCTGAATGCTAAAAGTAAAGGGGGAGTGGAATAGGCCACCTGAGGGAGAGACAGAGGTGGAAAACTGCTGCATCAACTGTGTCCATTTCTTCGGTCTCCGCTGTCCTTGCCCTGCCCCACAGATCACCTGCCCGCCGGCGGCCACCACCTTCTCCTCCATCTGCCACTTCAGTCCGGCGCTACCTTGTGCTTCCTGCCCGTTTCAATGGCAGCAGCTCTAGAGGCATGCAGCTCTGCGTCCCTGGGCTGGCAGTTTCAGCCTCCTGGCCCCCTTCGCGGCTCTGCCCACACAGTCCCACAGCAGCAGGCAGAGGGGGGGGCGACAATCCCAACACGTTGCACAGCTGGGAGCAAGCTGAGAGACAATTGGGATCGCCTGCCTCCCCTCATGCTTCTGCCGCCGCCCACCGCCACCTGCCCACTGCACCCAACCATCTCAGTTTGCACGTGTTTCCCGAAAATAAGCCCCAATGCCTCTTTTGGAGGCCAAAAAAATATAAGACCAGGTCATGTTTTTCAGGAAAACATGGTAGAAAGCATTAAGTTGAAGAAAATTATGACAGAATCAGAGTTAAAGACATTGTATAAAACTTTAAATGTTTGCCCATTCTAGGTTTGCTATCACCAGTTCCTCCATATGAATAAAAAAAGGAAGTTCTTTTGATTCTTTCTCTATGAATCACCCTTGTATACCTTAAAGAGCTGAATCCACCGCTTCTGTTCTGTTTGGATGCATTGCTGCATTTCTGTATTTGTAGTGACTCCAATACTTCTAAACGCTGCAATATATTCTTCACGAACCTCTGGCTTAGTTTCTGGATATGCCAATTTAATAATTCCTAAACAAGCATCGCGAAGACAGCGTGATAATGTGACCAGTTCTTCTAATGTAAAAGGCATCATTGATGATTGTCTTTGACCTACAACTATAGAAAAGACAAAACATGCTTAAGGACATACTGAAGAATATAGTCTTGTTCTCTTTGAATTCTCAGCATAATACTTTAACAGGACTTTTTAGTATAGCTTGTTGATCAATCCACGGTGGTCTGGTTTGCATTGAAAAACAAGCCAACCATTTTATGGTTTAGCACAGTGATGGCGAACCTTTTAGAGACCGAGTGCCCAAACTGCAACCCAAAACCCACTTATGCATGTTCGGGTGCTGGGTGGGTGTGGCCATTGCCTGGGCGTGGCCAATTGGGTGGGTGTGGCCCATTGGGTGGGCGTGGCTGCAGTGGTAAAGGAAGACTGGGTGGGACTAAAAAGTTCAATCAATCAATTTCAACTTAGCAAGATCTTTTTTTTTCTGCGAGAAGTTAAAATTGACTGATTGATTGAACCTTTTTTTTTTTTTTTGCACACTGCGGCGGAGGCCTAAAGCGAAAAGGTTTTATAAAACCCAGCTGAAGGCCTAGGACTGGGGCGACAGTGTCCGTGCCCACAGAGAGGTCTCTGAGTGCCACCTCTGGCACCTGTGCCATAGGTACGCCACTACTGGTTTAGCATGCGACCAAGCTAATGTTCTAAGCAAAAGAGAAAATAATTTGAATTTACAACAATGTGTTTCTTCAGACATGTAGATCTATATATTACAATGAAGAATTAACTACGTTCCAATAAATGAAATACATAGGTATAAGCAAAGATTCTTTCTCAAGTTTTGAATTGCAATTCTTACGATGCCTTGCTATCAACCATCCTACTTGGGTTGGATTAAAGTTGTAGTCCAAATATCTAGAAGATATTTGCTTGTCTTTATACCATAGAAATAATGAAATCTATCTATGTCTATTCTTCAACCCAGTGTAATCTAATAAACATTGTTTGTCTTATTAACAGAGATATTTCAGCAGCAACTTAACTGCATCTCGTAATTTCCTTAAATCAGATCTATACAACAAGCCTATTTGCAAAATACAGAAGATTCATAACTCTTCTTTATTTTCTGTCTGTCTAGAGACACCAAAAGAAAGACAGCAGCAGAATTTTCTAGGAAGCTGTATTTAATCCGAGGTAGTCTTCAGGTTATAACCATTGCTTAAGAGTTCCAGCAGTTGCACTGTCCCCATGGTCACATGATCACAATTCAAGTGCTCAGTGTCCAGCTCACAATTATGATGCTGCAGTGAGCTGTGTTCACACTGAGTGCAATTTGCAATGTTCCCCAAACTCAACGGGAAAGCTAGGAAAAGTCAAATATTGCGATCATGTGAAATCCTCACTTTAAAACTTGCATGGTCCTCTCTTAATGACAGCAACCAAAGCTTTGGGAATTGCCAGCACTAAGCAATGTGGTGATGTTGTGACTTCAACTTAACAAAAGACATTCCAGTTCCAATTGCCATCATAACCCAAGGACTACCTTTAATGGCTCGTCTGTTTTGAAGATCTTTTCAAATCTTGTAGTTTACATTATAATCTGTGTCCATTTTCAGATTAGAAAATTCAAATACAAAGAGAACAAAGCAATGCTTATAATTAAACAATAAAATATTAACTAAAAGTGTATATTCAATAATTTCATTTAAAAACATTTTTATGTTTTCAGATGAAGCACATCTCTTATGAATATGTTTATAATGATGTAATTATGAGTTCCGAGAGAAAATCCACAGAAGACGATGCCCTTACCTTCTATAGGGTCACCAAAGAATTCATTATCATGGATAGAAATAAGTGAGTGACTAAATAAGGAGCTAAAAAGGTAGAAGAGAGGAATGATCCGACTAGAATCTTCTAACGACATTGGGGAACCACGTGAAATTACTTGAAGGAGCGGCACCATAGACCTTAACAAAAAAACAAAAATTATAACCCTATTATCCACTTAAACCTATGACTTGGGTAGGAAAAGAAAAGATTAGAAATTATTTCTAACATCCCATTTTGGATTTTTTTTCCCTGAAATATCCTCTTTTAGAAGCCACATGATATTTTCAGAGTATTTCAAGGCTGTACGAAAATACGTAACATTTACACCTAATGAAATACTGAAAATAAATTCTTAAGAAATAACTATTAACATTGTACAGACCTATTAATATAGTATTTTCTTTAGACAGTTACTGCCCGGCAGCTTAACTAGGAAAACAAGAGGAAATGTAAAAGTTTATTATTTAGTCCAGTGTTTCTCAACCTTGACAATTTTAAGGCATGTGGACTTCAACTCCCAGAATTCCACAGCCAGCAGGCTGTGGAATTCTGGGAGTTGAAGTCCACATGCCTTAAAATTGTCAAGGTTGAGAAACACTGATTTAATCCCTGCCCTCAGCTACCAGATGAACACAAAAGTGTTATTTAGAGAATACAACACCACACAAAATCAAACTATGAATCCAGCATGCACACTTGTTTCATCTTCAAGGAAAACTGAGCGCTCACAAGAAGCCACTATCCATCTACAGGATAGGTGAGCTTTCACAACCTCCTGTGGGAAGTAGGTAACACTGCTAAAGAAGATTTCAAAATGCAGACGAATAATATATCAACAATAAGGATAAAATAAAAGAGCCCCCTTCTCCAAAAAACTCACACTCATATTCAAATGGTGTATATAAAATAGAAGAGACATTTTCTCTTTTTCACATGCATAGAAAGGAATGTTCTTAAAGAACATATCTTTTTAATAAGATAAAGTTGAACATTAAAATACAAACTAAAATAAGAGGAAAAAGGGAAATGGAATAACAAAAAGGAACATATCTTAAGTTTGTGTAAGTAATTCTGAAAGTTCAAATCTCTTGCACTTTTCTAATGTTTTTTTTTTACTGAAATATTGACAGTTTTAATAAAAACATTATCAGTAATTTACCCTTTCAGTGTGAAGTAATTTTGGAACTGTTTGGTCAATACAATACATGCTACTCTATTTGAATATTTTCTATATTTATAAAGTAACTACATACCCAGTAATCATTCGTGTTTTCATTTCTGAGATTAAACACCAAAGATGCCTCAAAAACCTGGCATTAAAAGCTAAACTGTACAAAAGTCTAGAAGGAAAGAGAGAAAGTATAAATTTTACCGAATATCTTTGTTAAACTTTTCTTTCAAAATTTATCCAAAGTTACCACTCTTAGACATTAATATTAATTAATATTCCAGGGTTCTCCCACTAGTTTATCATATCAATATAGAAAGTCTTTTCTACTAAAGGAAAAGCAGTGTATATTCATCATAATAAAAACAGAGATAAATGTGATAAACTGTGCCTTTTCATGTTTCACAAATCATCAGAATCAATTCAATTTTATATAGGTATATTAACTGTAAAGTTATTTTAAGATGGTATAAAATAATAAAACCAAAAGTTGGACCAAATTAATATAGAAAAAAATCTTTTTATGTTTAATTATAAATGTATCTTCTGTTTATAATCAGGCTTATAATGACATGTCACTATTTAGTCCTATTACAATTATTTGAAATTTCCAAATATCCTTATGGAAGAAATTAACTGAGACCATAAATGTCAGAAAAGTCACGAACTTTTTCTGAAGTATATGAATGTCTAACATTGTATTTATTATTATTTTGAATTTCCTAGCTGTAAAATTACCTTTATACCCTTATCTCCATCCATTTTTGTACTTTCCCTCAATTAAAAGACTCTTGGCAGTTAATATGATATAAAGAAATGCAATTTAAAATATTCACGACAGGCATAAAACCAAATATTAATAAAATAAAGATTAAAAAAAACTCAAGAATAAAAGCAGAGATAGCCCAACCTGGTCACAATCTGGGAAGAGGGCAGCCTGATCTCCATATGGAGACTATTGGAAGAGACCAGTACTTGCATTGTTTCCTAGCCTCAGCAATTTACTGCCCCAAAGAGGAGCAGATTCTCCCTAGATCCTACTAAGGGTCAGGCCAATTCTATTTGGAGCAAGCAGACCTGAATACAGCCAGATGCCAAGCCATAAAGAGCTTTATAGGTCAAATCCAGCGCTAAATTGCACTAGGCAGCTAATTGATAGTCAGTGTGCGGTCTAGGTGCAATAAATATTACCACATCCACTGACAGTAAAAGAAATTTTAAAAATTTACTGCTTTCAAAATAATAATTCTTGCTTTTCACCTTGAAAAGCTATGAAGCATAGCCAGATGATACTGAATTTTCTAATTATCTACTTCTAAAACTGTATATGCCCAATTTTCCTTGCAAAATTCTTAGGATTCATTGCTTATGTAAAACTTCTTTCTAGTTGAACACATATTACCCTGATCCTCTGAGAACATTTTTACAATGTTTAAGATTCAAATTTTCCATGACTATGTATTTATAACTTAAGAATTTTCTATTTATATACTTGCTTGGTACTTGTGGTTCCAATATTTTTCTTTTGGAATTTCCAATTATTGATAAAACACACAGCATAATTTCATTTTTGTAATTAAACTTACAAAAGGGTATAATACTAAAAATGTATTTAGTATTATCTATATTTTATAATTTTTCATTGCTGACAATTAGTCAAATATTTTGTAATTTCAATAATATAATATGAATATTATTCATAATCACAAATATCTTACATGGATTAAGTGGAGAGAAAATATATACCCAACAGGTTGATTTACTCTGGCAACCAAAGGACATTTTGTAGGTTTTGTTTGTTTTAATATATATATATATATATATATATATATATATATATATATTCGATATAAATCGAATAACACTGGTTTTGTTTGTTTTAATATATATATATATATATATTCGATATAAATCGAATAACACTGCTTCTTTATATGAAGTAAGCATTTTATGAAAACCCTGCAAATTGGCTAATTAGGCCCAATAAATAAATAAACAAACAAATGTCTATGATAGGTTTTGCCAAATTGCTATAGCTTGGCTTTTCTTTTCTTTTTTTAAAAAGTGTCAAATTCTTGCTGGTAGAATGGGAGAGATTAAATGACCCATTAAGCTTTATTTAGTCGAGGAATTGCTATAAGTTAATTACTTAAAGGCAAGATTTTCAATTTAGGCCATAAATTGGGTCTGGTTTCCCACTGAGACCATTTAAGTTAATGAAGAGAATACAATACAAAGACAGCGTACAGCTGGACAGAGGTCACTACAGGAGGACAGAATATTTTGACACTTCCTTTAAACTACAAAAAGTCGCAGGTAGAAGGGAACAGATGTGACTGCAATTACATAAGATTAAATAAGCTAGTGAAACCCTTCAGTATACAACTTTAAATGAACATTGCTTGTTTGCTAATGTCCCTCTGGGAACCCTGAACCAATACATGAAATACACTCTAATTTTTTTTAATATCTTCGTGGTGCATTTTTAAATGTGATTGTCAAGGTGAAAACTTTTACATGAAATACAACTGCTACCCAGAAACACCTTAAAAGTCACCAAACATATGGAAATAGATTGTGTTTCTTTGTACTGCACCTACAATGCCAAAATTCTACCAAGTCATCTACTACTCCAATAAGAATCGAAGAATAGCAAGGTTCTTGCCACTGAATCAGTAAATAAAATGAAATTATTCAGACACTGCGCAATAATCAAGGTGTAAATCTCAACATTAACCCACAGTTAACATACACTTTCAATGAATGAGAAATTGCAGTTAGCCACAGGGCAGTCTTGAATGCAAACTTGAAATGGATTGCCACTCACTGCAGGAGGCTAAAGTGCCAAGTAGTAATCAGATCAAGAGCTTCATGGAGGTGTTGCAAAGGGATGTTTGAAAAGCAGCCTCATCACACAAACCCTCTTGTTAGGGTTCTTCTTGTATCTACTTATGAAAAGGGACATGTACTGTACATGTAGTGCCCGAGCTACTGAAGATATTGCTCATGTTTTGTTTGACTGTCAACTATAAGCCCTTCTTAGGCTTCAAGAGTTAACACCGCTACCTGAAAGAACAACCCACTGTGATCTGAATCGCAGATTGTCCTATTTCCTCCTGGGTTCTAATCTATAAATTGTGAGCAGAACTGCCAAGTTAAGGCAGTTGATATAAGAATCTGCTATACTGAATGTATAGGGCAGGGGTGTCAAACTCAATTTCACTGAGGGTCGCATCAGTATTGCGGTTGCCCTGGGGGGCGGGGGTGTGTGGCCAGAGTGGGTGCAGCCTACTGGGTGGGTGTGGATGGAGTGGGTGTGGCCTACTGGGTGGGCGTGCCCAGTTCTACATCATTCGCGTCAAGGGTGCCTATGGGGGCCTGGGCAGGAGTAGGACAGATCTGAGGGTCTCTGGCAGAAGGGGGTGGGACCGGGGCAAGTGCCAAGGCATGGTCCACCGGGGCAAGTGCCAAGATGGCCACCACAAAATTGTACATTGGCTCCCGGCTGGCCTGGGCCAGAGCCAAGGCAGCAGGAGCCGTTCCCTCACTGTTTCCAGGATGGCTTCGCGGGCCACATGAAACCACTTCGCGGGCCGCATCCGTCCCCCGAGTCTTGGGTTTGACATGTCTGGTATAGGGGTATCTTGTAAAGGCAATGTATTTTCCTGAATGTTGATTGTTTGTATTTATCACGTGTGTATTTTATTACTGTATTTTCCTTTTATTTATTTTATCCTGAACATATATCCTGCATTTTTAATGTGTTTTTGATATGGTCATAAGACTAATCAATCAATACATTATCTATCTACTTATGAAAAGACTGAGAGACCAGGGCGTAACAAAGCCACTGCTTTGCTTTGCACAAGACTATATACGTGCATTCCTGAAACTGTGGCTTAACAGCAACAAGCAGATAGACTGATGCATCAACATCTTACTTTAGGTTTACCACAAGATGAAAGGCAGTGGGGAGTAAAGCAACTGTGGATAAGATATTTTTATTTATTCAGTAGAAAACTTAATGTCAGCACATATCCAGGACCACATGCAAACTTGTATCTGCCAGAATTTTTGCCATTATCAGTTTACAAAGCCTGTATTACGGGAGACTTAGACACAGCTACACATCCATTTTAAAACATGGAAACATCAACCAAAGATATTTATGCAAAAGGCAGCAGGATTTTAAACATAGCTCCTTGAAGGACAGGTTGTGGTTATGCAGTAAGACCACAGAGACATCTAATCAACTTTCTTACGCAATTCATCAATAAACTTCACGTCAATGCAATGATGCATTTAAATTCCATAATTACTACTTAAAGCAATAGAATAACTGCAATAAAGGCAGGGATACTCATTCAACTTCTGCTATGATCTCTGGACCTCACATCCTGCACTATTGCAATTAGTTGACAAAGACCTAATTACCCTAATCAAATTACCACAGGTTCAATGACATCTTACTTCCTTCAAAAGCTATAAACAGAAGTGAGTTAAACAGAGAGTACCAATTTGTTTTCCACACTACTGTTTACAAAGCAATTTGAATTCATTGTGCTTCACTGAATTCCAAAACTACAAGGTATTATTTATATCATGCATATAATCAAGCAACTTTATTATGACCACAACCCAAAAAGGTGATGGTAGGGAAAGGGATAGGAGTGCTATTTATTTGTCTTTTTTTTAGATTTTTATCTGTTATATTGACTGTTTTATTTGTCATGCAGCACCCAGAACTGCCTTTGAAGGGCAGCTGTATACATTTAATAAATAAATAGTAATGCTGTATTGTTGAATGAATTAACTTTACATTCACCACTGTTCATGTTTTGGAATCATAAAGAGGTTTAAAATATAACTACTACTGAAGACAAACTAGTGGCATTTTTGTCAGTCTACAGTATTTCAGAGGTCTATACTTTCTCCATTATTGTGAATCAATACACTTGATTAACAACTTATCATAAAACAGATTAATTAAGAAGTATTGTTACAGACACACACAAGAATGGATCAAAATCATCCTAATAAATTAGGTACATGAACTCACGTATTTTTTACACTTGCCTGACTTTTGGCACCATCATTCGATGCTGCACCATCAACGTATGGCAAATGGAAGCCATCAGAGTGAAGACTTCTTCACTAGCTGAATCTCTCCAAACCATATTTAGCAAGGTGTTTGTCTGCTGCTTTGTGTCCAGCTTTGAAAGACACTCTTCAGTTATATATTGGACTGATATTCTTCCATCACCCTGTAAAATTAAAAAAGAGGATGATTATATTTTAATTGGTCAAACTAGCAGTAGCACTTACATACTGCTTATATGCTGCTCCATAGTACTTTACCCCTCTCTCTGAGCAGTTTACAAATGTCAGCATATTATCCCAAAAAATCTGGGTCCTCATTTTATCGACCTCAGAAAGATGGAAGGCTGAGTCAACCTTGAGCCAGTCAGAATCAAACATTTGGAAGTGAGTTAGCATGCAGTACTGCATTCTAAGCACAACGCCACCACAGCTCATTATATATTACTTCCAGTAAATAATATGTGGAATAGCACATCAGTTAGTAGCTCTCAGATTTGAACAACATGTTAAAGAAAATGTTAACATTAATGTTTCTTCACTATTTGAAATCAGCAAGTTAGATGGGAATTTCTAAATCCATACAAAGTAAAGTGACAATTTTTATTCCCAACCCACAGGCGGACTTTATTAAACAACTGTAAATTCAGTGCTCCTATTAAAATACCATTCTTTTTCACAATAAACCAGAAAATATTATGTCACTTCTGCAATGTTGAATGGAACCAACATGTCTAGTTGTGTATAACCTATTGTCAGCATTTTGCAATATCTGGAAATGAATAATGTGTACCAACACAAATATACAGTTACACTTTTTCTTTTCCCAGTGAATATAGAGAAACTTATAAACTGTCCCAATTGTTAACAGAACCAAAGGACATATAAAATAAGGTGCTAGAATTGATATATTTTGAAAGAAAGGAAGAAAAGAAACCCCTCAAGTTTATAACAAGGATGTTTGATCAAGCTTAAGTGGTGCCATTATGGATTATTCCAGAATCACTTTAATAAAAGTATCCAGGAAGTGCTTGAAGAATTGAAGTTGAAGTACTAAATTCCTCTCCGAGAAAGAATATGGTCCCTTTTGAACTAAAATAGCAGGTGTGTGAATGTTATTAAAGAAGCCATCCTTCCGCTGACAAATATTTCTTAGCTATCATGTTCCACTGTTTTGGTAGAATGTTGAGAGAACAGCGTGCTTATTTCAACTCCAAACTTTAAAAAAGAACATTCAAATCCTTTCAAGACTTTTCTCCCCCACACCGAATCCTTTCTAAAACCTTCATAGATTTTAAACTTGTTTGGATGTGCTTCCCACAGATAATTTTTAGACTGGCTCTACAAAAATATTTAAGATGCAACTTTCAAGGACATCTATCAGAAGTGATTGTGTACTGAAAAGTGATTATTTTGGCTTCCTTTTTCATTTTTATATTAACTTGTTATTCTTACTGTTCCACCTCTAAATCTCCATTCTGAAAAACTGATCAAAAGATCCTTACATATTTAATTACATGCACATGATGAAGCCATCTTTCCCAAGAAATCAATGAGTATGAGAACTGCTATGTGCATTAGGCATTATTTTAAGAATTGACAAGAAGTATGTGCATTTTACTCATCTGCAAATATGCCTGAATAACTGTGACTGCCATTACCATTTTTTCCCACTAGAGGCAGCTGCTGAAACAGTTTTATGTAGCCAATCTTATTTATGTCCTATTTACTTCCCAGGCCAATGCACAGTATCATATGAAGGGCTACTTCTGAAGGTACTGCAGAGACTGTAACTGGGATTAATTGAAAGTAAAGACCAGTAACTTTAAAGGGCCTTTAAAGTTAAGGTCCTAAATAGCCTTAATCCATACAGAACATTCCTATCTTTATACTAAGATTTGCTATGGAATCTCTCTCAAGCATTCATTGTAAAGACCCATGAAACCAGCGTGCACTTGTAGTTACTATTTTAGCATTTAAGCAAATATTGGGCAATATTCTTCTAAAGAATGCCTTTGATTGATATCATGAATTTTTACATTGATAGAGTGATTTAACAAAGTATTTCTGGGGAATCTATCCTGACACAATCATCTTTGATCATTCTTACTTTATTTCTCACCTCTCCTGTGCACTGTTTTAGGAAAAAGCAGGCCTACAAAGATTTTTATATTATCTAAAACAGGAAATAAGAAGCTTACAGGCATGGATGACATTTTACTAATTTCTTCATCTTCAGAGTCACTTGCCGAGTCCTGACAATCTGTACCTGACATTGAGACAGGCAATTGAGAAAGAAATGACTGGAGCACCCGCAAATATACAAGCAACCCTTCTTCTGAAAGAGAACCTGTAAAGGAAAACAAATTAAGCCCATTATGTAGAATACACACATACTGAACAAAAATCACTTAAAAATAAGAATATTCCAGGCACCTCAGCATATACATGGTCAGAGCACTGCAAGATAAACCCCAGGGAACTCCTCGTGTCTTCTGGCAGCTGCAGTGGCATTGTGGCTTGTAAGAAAAGAACCGCAGGGTGGCAAGCGAAGTGCCATTTCAAATGGCTACACACTATAGAGCAGGTTTCCCAACCTTGGCAACTTTTAAGATGTGTGGACTTCAATTCTCAGAATTCATGGATGAATGGGGAAGCTTGGGAGTTGAAGTCTAGATCAGGGCTTTTCAACCTTTTCACCCATTGTACCACTTTTAGGATATGGCAACATCCGTGTACCACCAGCCGCCTAGCAAGGTGTCAAAAACTTGATGACCCCCCCCAAAAAAAGGAAAAAACTGATAAAGTACAGGTAGTCCTCGACTTACAACAGTTCACTTAGTGACTGTTCGAAGTTACAATGGCACTGAAAAAAGTGCCCCCCAAGCCACAGCCGAGCAAGACACCTGCCTGCCCACACGGCGGCGCTCTTCCTCCTGTCCGAGGTTTTCATTGTTGTGACCATTTCTGTTGAGGATTGGCAGCGGGGGCGGGGTAAGGGGGTGTTTGGTTTTTATCCCCCCCCCCCGTCTGCTGGGTGGTTGCAGCAGGTTTTGGTCACTTCACATGACCCTGGGACACTGTGACCGTCATAAATATGAATCAGTTGCCAAGCATCTGAATGTAAATCACAAGATTCTGGAGATGCTGCAACATTCCAGCTGATCGGCGGTTCTTCTGGGCTCAGCAGAAGCGCCAGGATCAGCGCTGAGCTCCAGCTGGAGCCTGGCGCTGATCCTGGCACTTCCACTGAGCCCTGACAGCCCCGATCAGCTGGAAAGCGGCACTGATCCTGGCGCTTCCGCTGAGCCCTGATAGCCCTGCAGCTCCAGCCATCTTTTGCTCAGACTTGTGCAGTGCTGCCCACCAGTTCAGTTCATTCCCCTCCCCCACTACCACTTTTCTAGGATGGTCACGTACCACCTGCCAGGTGCCAATGTACCACAGATGGTACCCGTACCACTGGTTGAAAAGCCCTGGTCTAGATGTCTTAAACTTGCCAAAATTGGGAAAGCCCTGTTACAGTGTCTATCACCAATTACACTTAATTAAGACTGTTTTACATACCTAAGTAAGTTTCACCAGCTATTAGAACAAAGTAGAAAAGCCAAGGAGCTCTCTCGCTTTCCCTCAAATGACCACTTTCTGTGAATAATAGTGCATTCAGAAAGAGTTCGTAGGGAAAACAGGTTTCTACATCCACAAGTGCTGGAATGATGAAGTGGAATATCTGGTCTGTAAAAGGTGCTGCCAGGAATTCTTCTGTAAAAGCAGCAAATACCTGTTGCCTGCAATAGAGAAAGAAAATAATGCATGTAATAATAGTATTAATTAATTAAGCTTGCAAGCTGCCCAGAACTCAATACCTCTCGGCGGCTTTAAACTATTCATTCATTCAATCAATCAATTTGTGTGGCCAACCCATCTCAACAAGTGACTCTGGGAGGCGAACAAAATTAAAAATAAGTTAGAAACATAATAAACTCATGGCAGAAAAAGACTTAGTGGCCCGTGGAGTCTACCCTTTGAGTTTGTTTTGTTGTCTTTTTAATTTATTTATTATTTTTAATTTATTTTTAATTTATTTTGTTTTAAATTTTTGTTAGATGATGAACATGTTTATCCCAAACATGTTTAAATTCAGTTACTGATGACCGACCCCTACCTCTATTGTAAGTTGGTTTCAAGCTTCACTGCTCTTTCCGTGAAATAATACTTTCTAAAGTATTTTAAAACTATTTTCTAAATAAAAACATGAAAAATGAAAATACCACTGCAGATGAGATTAAATCATAGACCATAATCACAAATATAACCAAGAAACAGGGTTCTGAACACAAACAGGGCCCCAGTCCTAGTCACAAGGCCCGTTCTCTAATAATTTATGAACAGTCAGCAGGCTTTATGATCAATTTTATTCAATTAATCCTTGACTTGCAACCGTTCATTTAATGCCCATCCAAAGTTATAATGGCACTGAAAAAAGTGACTTATGCCCGTTTTTTACACCTAGGACCATTATAGCATCCCCATGTTCACAGGATCAAAGTTCAGATGCTTGGAGACTGACTCCTATTTATGACGGTTGCAGTGTCCCGGAGTCATGTGATTACCTTTTGTAACCTTCTGACAAGCAAAATCAATGGGGAAGCCTGATTCACTTAACATCCATGTTACTAACTTAACAATTGCAGTGATTCACTTAACAAATGTGGTAAGAGACAAAACTTACTTAACAAATGTCTCACTTAGCAACAGAACCTTTGTGCTCAATTGTGGCTGTAAATTGAGGACTATCTATATTAATGGCCAAAAAACCATAATCAGTACAAAATAAAAACAAGAATAAAGGAATACTACTAAAAATAACTTAATTAAACTTGCATTCTGCCTGGCTCTCAACTACTCTGGCAGATTTAAGTCTATCTATAGGCCACAACCATTAGAAAGCAAAAATAAGATAAAGGAATATTAACAAATGCAAGATAAATCAATAAAAGATTTACAAATATTTAATAAAGTACAATATAAGTCCCAAGGTATTCATTCCAGCACTAGACTCATATCCTCTTTACAACAATTGCTATTAAAGAAAATTTAGCAACATTTCTGGTTATTTGCAATATAATCAAGTAACAGATCTCAGTTTGTGTTTTACCATTAACATTGGACAATTTTTTAATTAATCCTACATGCTATGTTATGCCTCAAAACTATTCTGAGCATCTGCTTTTATGAGTGCACAGACAAGCAATAAAATCAAATTATTCAAAAATTCTGAACTAGTTATTCTACAAGGCTTCCTATATTTGCTCCATTGAAGTATCATTGTTTTTCTTTGTATTATGACAATATGCAGAAATATTAAACTAGTTTAATATTTTTGAGTTAACCGTTTGCTCCCATAACATAAAATCCTCACCTAGCAACTTCAGGACAGGAACTATAATTAAAGTGCAATGGCTTCAGAACATTCTCTAAAAATATTTTTGCAATAGGAACCCGAGAGACATCAGAATACTCAATACTTGATGGAAGCTTGTTATTTATTAGGAGATAAAGAGATCTGTAGTATCCTAAAAGAAAAGGACAACTTAATAAAGGCAGTATCAAAACATTTCTGCCGCTATTCAATACATTTCAATGGGATAACTGCAGTATTTGCAGCATTACTATTGTAGTAAGCACAGTAAAGCAAGTAATATGGTAGGCCTTGTGGTTCAAGATCAGAGCAATATAATAGCCCAGTTAAAAGCCTGTTTATTTGACAAGCCATACTCATTAAAGATAAGAGTATGATTAAGAATGTAGCACTAATCATAGTGAAAATTTAAATTTATTTTTTTTAAATTTAAGAATTTTTAAAAAATGAAAACTAGTTATAAAACACTAGAAAATTCAGATTCCATTATACAATCATTACTAAAACATGCAGTATTTAATTTAAAAATGGTGCATGAAAACGCAGCAGAATGTGCATTTAATTATTTAACTATTATATACTAGTCGCAATTATTACAAAGGTACCTCCAATGAATACGTAGTTCAACATTCAATATAGATCTAAAAGCTAATTATCATACTTACCATTTTGAATCACGTAGTGCAAGATTTGTTCAATTATTGATGCAACATTGTTAGCATCTTGTAAAACAGGCAAATAGGTATTCTTGGATGAAAATACTTCAAGCATCCTCATAGGAAGTGCAACATTCAGACTGTCATCATTGCAGTTTTGTAGCAATCTGTAACAGAAAAGCTATTTTACAAATTATAACACTGTTTCCCTTGTAGTAATTCTTATACATGGTAAAATGCTTTTTCATACCTCACTTCTGAAGTCAACTTGAAATCAATGAAAACTAATTACTAGAGCACAGCTGGACAGCAATGAATTTTAAGAATTTCCTTCATGCTAATAATAAATTAGTACCATAAATGATCTGAAGAATAGGGAATCCCAAAACACAACCCCACAAAACACCTATGATATTTCGAAATTAGCCACATGTATCATATTAAAAACCAAATTCATGGAACATATATTAATGTACAGCAAGCTATTTTCATTAGTTTGTATATCCATTTACCTGCAACAGAGGCCCAACAACCTTTTTATCTGGTATAAGCATGTAAATCTGTCAGGACCATCAAGCTGCTTTACAAATTGAGAATTTTGTTTAATCAAATTTTGGCATATCCATATCTGAAAAGGGAAAAATCCACAAAGTAGGAAAATGATCTAACATACAAAATGCTGCTTTTTTAATACCTTACAATAATGCTATTTTTGCATCATGCAAAAGAAAAGCAAACTAACAAGGACCAAATTTTATCACAAAGTGCTTGAAAACTTTCATTCTTACTCTAAATTTCAGTATGTTAGAAATACAAAGAAAGATGTAAAATTACCCAACATGCACTTTAACATGTAATTCAGAATCATAAAATTAGAACTGCAATTAATAAAATTATATATAAAAAACGGACAGTACAGGGGGGGAAAGGGAGTGCTTCCTGATTGACTAAGTTCTAAGCTACTTCAACTCAGTCATAACAAAGTTTTTTTGTATGTAATAGAAATAATAATGAAAAACTGAATAATGACAGAGGTTTTATTAGCAGTAGGGGGAACTTTAGGCAATTCTGAAAATCCACAAAACCTTTCCTACTGCACAAGTAGTCCTCAACCTATGAACACAATTGAGTCCAAAATTTCTGTTGCTAAGCAAGGTAATTTGTTAGGTGAGTTTTGCCCCATTTTACGACCTTTCTTGCCATGTTTTTTAAGTGAATCACTGCAATTAAATCAGTTACATAGTTGTTAAATAAATCTTGTTTCCCCATTCACTTTGCTCATCAGAAGGTCGCATGACCCCCGGTACTGCCCCAGTCATAGATACATGCCAGTTGCAAGAGTCTAAATTTGATCACACAACCACAGGAATGCAACAACAGTCATAAGTGTGAAAAACAATTATAAATCACTTTTTAAGTGCACTGTAACTTCAAACGGTCACTAAATGAATGGTTGTTAGTCAAGGACTAACCATCGAGGTTCCAATAAAAGAGAATATTTGTAACTCAGGGTTGAAATAAGGGGTCCTTTGTGCTCTCTCTGAGCTTGCTTGTATGGAGGTTTTGCGCAGCATCCGAAAACCGTGGGAGCACTCTCAACTATTTTCTGAGGCTCCAGAGACCTCACAAGAGCGGGCCCTTTTCGTGCGATTTCCAGGGAGGAGGTCCAGACAGACCTCTTTTGTCATGGGAGGGAGGGGCAGTGTGGGTCATGCCAAAGGAGTCAAGTTAGGCATTTTTTGAATTTTTGACAAATCCGGCCCAAAATGTTCACCATCACTGACACAGGGAGTACAAAGGAATCTTGGGAAACTCAACAGCATAAACATCATCGGTCGGCATAAACCTTCAAGTACCAACTTCTGGAGATAGCCATCCAGAGCTATTTTTTTTAAAAAAAAATTCCATAAGATAGCTGGGGCAATCACTCCAGAAGAATATCAAAGCCAATGGTACCTAGGGTTACTGAGAAATCCAGGAAAACGAAAAGGTTGTGCCCCCTGTCTTTCTCCTATCAAGGAATATCTAACAGGCCAAAACCAAACCTATGTCTAAATAACTGGATTAGAAAATCCATTTCATTTAGGAATCAGTCACCGTCAATATTTTAAGATTATCGTGATGCAGTATTTTCCAAACCCAAAACAAAACAAAATGAACAGAGGAAGCCCCTATCCACAGAAGGGAGAATGATAATTTTATACCCCAAAATGAGAGAACAGTTGTGGGGATGAGGAAAAGCTTCCTTGCACAAGATGAAAAGATCTTGTGCAAGTCTAGATTTGAGTTCCAGAGTTTTCTCAGACTTTAATTGCCCAAAATCTAGAGCAGGGCTTTTCTACCAGTGGTACAGGTACCACCTGTGGTACATTGGCATCTGGCAGGTGGTACGCGACCATCCTAGAAAAGTAGCGGGGGAGGGGAATGAGCTGAACCAGTGGCAGCACCGCACAAGCCTGAGCGAGAGATGGCTGGAGCTGCAGGGCTGTCAGGGCTCAGCGGAAGCACCAGGATCAGTGCCGCTTTCCAGCTGATCGGCGCTTCTTCAGGGCTGTTGGGGCTCAGCGGAAGCGCCAGGATCAGCGCCAGGCTCCAGTTGCAGCTCGGCGCTGATCCTGGTGCTTCTGCTGAGCCCTGAAGAAGCGCCGATCAGCTGGAATGTTGCAGCATCTCCAGGGTCTTGTGATTTACATTCAGATGTCTGGCAACTGATTCATATTTATGACGGTCACAGTGTCCCAGGGTCATGTGAAGTGACCAAAACCTGCTGCAACCACCCAGAAGACGGGGGGAATAAAAAACCAAACACCCCCCACCCCACCCCCACCGCCAATCCTCAACAGAAATGCTGACAACAATGAAAACCTCGGACAGGAGGAAGAGCGCCGCCGGGTGGGCCGGCAGGTGTCTTTCTCGGCTGTGGCTTGGGGGGCACTTTTTTCAGTGCCATTGTAACTTCAAACAGTCACTAAGTGAACTGTTGCAAGTAGAGGACTACCTGTACTTTATCATTTTTTCCCTTTTTCTTTCTTTTTTTTTTTTTTTTTTTTGGTCATCAGGTTTTTGACACCTTGCTAGGCGAGTGGTGGTACTCGGATGTTGCCATATCCTAAAAGTGGTACACTGGGTGAAAAGGTTGAAAAGCCCTGACCTAGGCGAGTGTTTCCCAATCTTAGCAACGTTAAGAATGTGAACTTCAGCTCCCAGAATTCCCCAGCCAACACTCCTTAAAGATGCTAAGGTTGAGAAACATTCACCAAGAGACTTCTCCCAGACTGGGTTTCTAAATCCCAGCCTAACACCTCTACCCAAAAGCTGAAAACAAAATGAAATATCACTACTTACCAAACGTTTGGAATCTTCATTATATCTATAGAAAAACAGAAGCTGGCGAACTAAGAGAGTCAGGTTTACTCCAGTGGCAGAGGAGCAACTTCCTCCAGATTGTGCTAAATTAGCACAGCGATCAAATTCACTCCTCTGAGTAGCATACTTAAAATTGAAAAATAAAAGTAAAGCTGATGAAATCTAGTGTCCAGGCATTAATTAACATGCATTTTCAACATGTAATTTGTAACTGCAAACTTCATTTACAAATTAAATTCTTATGAATATAAGAATGTCATCTTTCATATTATTAATTTGTCATACCTTTGGCTACAATGCTATGCATAAGTGTTCCAATAAAAAATTGGGAATATTTGGATAACAGCATCAGACATAAATAATCTACAATAACTGCATAGTACTACTGTCATTTAATCAATTCTAGAATGGACACCATTCATCCAAATCCCACACACAAGCATAAACGCTGCCTATGGATTAAAGAAGACAATCAGAGCTCATTTTATGTCAAAAAGAACTAATAATAAAATCAATGTGTGGGAAACTATTGAGACAGGTACTTGCTTTCTTATTTTACTGAGATTAACAACAAAAAGTTCATTAATTTTGCAAAAGTCCATCAAGTACTATTTTCTCCATCAACACATGCTGGCTGTGGAATTCTAGGAGTTGAAGTCCACATGCCTTAAAATTGTCAAGGTTGAGAAACACTGTTCTAGATTAAATCATTATGTGGCGTTATAATTTTCCTTCATTTTTAAAATAACAAAGATCCAGCTGTTCAGGATCTTAGATCAGTGGTTCCCAACCTTTTCTATACCCCGCACCCTTAGAACGCTTCTGATATATTTTCACACCCCTTATAACAGTTCAAAATAACAGCAACAAATTATGCATATACACTATAATTTTGAAAACCCAAGTTTTCACACCCCCTGGAATATTGTCTCACACTCCCAGGGAGTGCAAGCACCCCTGGTTAGGAACCCCTGCCTTAGATCCACTAATTCTTAGGTTCATAAGAATTCAGATGTTTTCTGCCTCCAATAGTCACAAAAACTAAAAATCTTCCTACACAATATAAATCAAAACAATAAAGAATTATAGTGCAACTATAGGGATCTTGGAGTCCTAGTAAACAATCACTTAAATATGAGCCAGCTGCCAAAAATGCAATCCTAGGCTGAATCAAGGCCACTTTATAATGCCTTGGTAAAACCACACTTGGAGTACTGCATATAGTTTTGGTTACTACAATATAAAAAAAGATGTTGAGACTCCAGAAAGAGCGTGGAGAACAGCAACAAAGATGATTAGGGGGCTAGAGGCTAAAACATGAAGAATGGTTGCAGGAATTGGGTATGTCTAGTCTAGAGAAAAGGACTAGAGGTGACAGTGTTCCAAAATTTGTGGGCTTCCACAACGAAGAGGGGATCAATTTATTGTCCAAAGCACCAGAAGGCAAGACAAGAAGCAATGGTTGGAAACTAACCAAGAAGAGAAGCAACCTAAAACTAAGGAGAAATTTCATGACAGTGGAATGGCTTGCCTTCAGAGGTTGTGGGTGCTCTATCACTGGAGGCTTTAAAAAAGAGACTGGACAACCATTTGTCTGAAATTAGATAGGGTCTCCTGCTTGATCAGGGGCTTGGATTAGAAGACCTCCAAAGTCCCTTCCAACTCTTGTTATTCTTTTACTTCTAGACAATATTTGTATATAACCATCATAGCAGACCAAAACACAACAGAAATGTTGCAGGATCCAAACTGCATTGATCCCTAGGACCAGAGGTTTAGTCTTCTGAGCTTTTGGACCCATACTGGAACTATCCTTAGGGAACTTCCCTCTACCAGTCTGTCTACCATTCTAGTAGATACATTCTGATTCCAGAATTTGGTAGAGAGAAGTTCTGGTAAAACATCTTGTTGGAGCATGTCAGATTCGTGCTCTATAAAGAACTTTACACATTCGGGTAGAGCATGAGTCTGACATGCCCCAACATGAGTCCAAAAGCTCGGAAGACTAAACCTCTGGTCCCAGTGACCGACCCAGATTGGACCCTGCAACATTATCCTGAGACACGTATATTTGCCTTAATTCACAACAGAAATGTTTTCGTACACCAATAAATCATCTACAAGTGTTTCTAAAACTTAACTGCAATATATAATGCATAAGTCTAGATTCTACATCCTATATACAACCCTCATGGCTGAAAAATTGAGTTTAATTTAATTCTGAACTGCACAAAGACTGACTTCATGATCTGGACAAAAGTTCAGTATTAACAGGTAGAATGATAAAATAACGAGTATGAGAACTATTAATTTCATTTTAATATAATTTATTATAATATAATCTGCTGTACAATATCAAAAATACTCAAAAAAAAAATCATGAAAAAAAGCCTACTTGGTGTTTTCTGTCCCTGTATCCCCGAACAAAGGACTGGATAATGACTGCATTTTTCAGTCTTCTCCTTTCTTCCTAAGGGGATAAGTCAAAAGTCAATAAAATATGATGCATTGTAATTCAAAATTCAAAATGGCAACAATTCAGTGCTCACTATAGGAACACACACTCCCAACATCTTTAGTTAGTTTTCTACGAGTATAAAGAGAAGTCTCTCACTTTCAGATACCAGACACCTAGAAACATTGATTTACAATATTTTTATACTGCTTGTCAAATTGGTTCACAAAGAAATTACCCTCTTCCAATAAAAGAGCAAGGTACATTTTCAGATGTTTACTCTGATATCACCTGCCTCTGAGATTGACTAATCAACCAGGCTAGAAACTGGGAGACACCTAAGTTATAGCTTAGCCATGAAAGCTGGCTGGGTGACTTTGGGCCAGTCCTTCTCTCTGAGTGAACCCACCTCATAGAGTTGCTGTTGTGAGGAAAATAGGAGGAAGGAGTATTAGATATGTTCACCACCTTGAGTTTTTATAAAACTAGTAAAGGCGGAATATTAAACGAATGAGTTGAATGTCGCATAATCAACCACACTATTTTTAATTCTGGAGAATGCCAACATAGGAAAAACTGAAATCCTGGTAAGAATCTCATTCCTCTATTCTGTAACCCAAATATTGATTTATCATCTTGATTTGATCTGTTATTACACAATTAACTTCAGATGAGAAAAGAGAAGTGAGACAAGACAGACCACAGTAATTATGAGCTGCTGATTAATTTGAGCTGTTATTAAAACAGAAAAAAAATCAGCTTCAAAAACTGATTTTTCCATTTATATTTAGATGAAACACAATACAATACTTGTATGTTGTGCTGCATATACATAGGTTTATTAATTCAAGAAACTAGAGGTTATAGAACCCTAATACAAGTAGTCCTCAACTTATGATCACAATTGATCCCAAAATTTGTTGCTAAGCAAAGCAGTCAATTTTGCCCAATTTTACGATCTTCCTTACCACACTGTTAAGTGAATCACTGCAGTTGTTAAATAAATCATGTGATCGTTAAGCGAATCTTGTTTTCACCATAAACTGCTTGTTGTAAGGAAGGTTACAAATGGTGATCACATGATTCAGGACAGTGCAACTGTCATAAACACATGCCAGTTGCCAATTGCCCTACGAGGATCCTGTAATGGTCATAAGTGTGAAAAATGGTCATAAGTCATTTTTTTTCAGTGCTGTTGTAACTTCAAACAGTCACTAAATGAATGGTTGCAAGTGGAGGACTAGCTGTACACAATATTTCAGGTTTGAGGTCAACACTGCAATATTTGTATGTTCATTTGTGTTCATTTCGGTTCTCAATAGACTGACATTTCTTTCTACTTTATAAACTTTGCACCATTTAAAGACGTGTTTATTTTTATTCATTCATTCTATTTCTATTGCTGCCCAATTCAATGAAGTGAGTCTGGGTGGTTTACACTCCTAAACCTATAAAACAATTAAAATGACTTTCTAATATTACCATAATTTTAACAAGGTATATCTCTTTAATTTTTATCTAGCAACATGCATTTTCATCCACCAGCTCCTTTTTATTGTGCTTTATTTACATCATACCTCTCGTTTTCGTCTCTCCTCCTGTGTACGATGCAAAAGAGATGCCTTTTCTTCCTGGAAAAGAACAGACATGATGTAAAAATGTTATCTGAAGAAAGGTGCTGAATTTTTATATGAACATCTTTATACTAGTTGTACATCCGTTTATGTATATGTATCTTTTCCCAACCCACAGAAAGGATTACAATCATTAGTCTTTGCTGAACCAATTATACCAATAATTTCAGCTGAGTGAAAGACTATATTGCAGTTTACATCACACATGCTTTTGCAACTATATTAAGCATCTATTGCAGTGGTTCCCAAACTTTCCAGTTTGGCGGCCCAGCCTGGTGGAGGTGTGCAAGTGGCAGGCAGACGTGCATAGCTCCATTTGTGTGAGCAGTGGGCACGCACACCCTCCACTCGCCCAAGTGGAGTTTCCCACGTGAATGCAAGTGCCCTCTGCTTGCGTGAATGGAGCTTCACACGTGCTTGCCCATCTCGCTGCCCGCTGCCCAGTTTCAAACAGGCTGTGGCCCGATAACTGGCTGGGGCCCAGAGTTTGGAGATCCCTGATCTACTTCATTGATTTTAGAATGCATCTTCTGAAAATAGAAATGCTTGCTCTCTTGGTAGAGAGAACTAGCTTCCCCAAGTCCACTTCAATAAAGTTCTGAAGGAGCTGGCAGATGTTATCTCAGAACCATTGCACCTTATCTTTCAAAAATCATGGAGCATCGGGGAAGTACCTGAGGATTGGAAAAGGGCTCATGTGGTTCCCATCTTCAAGAAAGGGAAAAAAACAGACCCAGGAAATTACAGACCAATCAGTCTAACATCAATACCTGGGAAGATCTTGGAAAAGATAATCAAAAAACATATCTGCAAACAACTAGAAGCAAACAAAGTTATAACCAGTAGCCAGCATGGGTTTGTCAACAATAGATCATGCCAAACCAATCTTATTTCATTCTTTGATAAAGTAACCAAATTAGTAGGCCAATGAAACGCTGTGGACATAGTATACTTAGACTTCAGTAAGGCATTTGACAACAACCTGTTGCTTAGTAAGCTAGAAAAAGATGGGACAGACAACATCATCAGATGGATCTGTAGCTGGCTGACAAGCCGTACTCAGCAAGTAGTCTTCAACAGCACTACATCCACATGGAGAGAAGTAAGTAATGGCGTACCACAAGGCTCCCTCTTAGGCCCAGTATTCTTCAATGTTTTCATCAATGACTTAGATGAGGGAAAAGAAGGGGAACTCATCAAATTTGCAGATGACACCAAACTGTCAGGAATAGCCAACACCCCAGAAGACAAACTCAGGATCCAAAAAGATCTTGACAAACTTGAATAATGGGCCCTATCCAACAAAATGAGTTTTAATGTAGAGAAAAGTGAAGTTTTACATTTAGGCAGGAAAAAGCAAAGGTTTAAGTACAGATTAGACGAGACCTGGCTTAAAAAACAGCAACTGTGAGAGGGATCTTGGAGTCCTAGTGGACGATCACTTGACTATGAGCCAGCAGTGTGCAGCAGCAGCCAAAAAAGCTAATACAATCCTGGGTTCTATAAACAGAGGCATAGAATCAAGACTCTAGAAAGAGTACAGAGAAGAGCAACAAAGATGATTAGGGGACTGGAGGCTAAAACATATAAGGAACGGTTGCTGGAATTGGGTATGTCTAGTTTAACGAAGGGAAGGACGAGGGGGGACATGATAGCAGTGCTCCAATATCTCAGGGGCTGCCACAAAGAAGAGGGAGTCAAGCTATTCTCCAAAGCGCCTGAGGGCAGGACAAGAAGCAACGGATGGAAACTAACCAAAGAGAGAAGCAACCTAGAACTAAGGAGAAACTTTCTGACAGTTAGAACAATTAACCAGTGGAACGACCTGCCTCCAGAAACGGTGAATGCTCCAACACTGGAAGTTTTTAAGAAGAGACTGGACAGCCATTTGTCTGAAATGGTATAGGGTTTCCTGCCTGAGCAGGGAGTTGGACTAGATGACTTCCAAGGTCCCTTCCAACTTTATTATTATTATTATTATCACGTGAAGGATTACTACCATTTTATAACACTCTAGTAAGATCACACCTGGAATACTGCAAGCAATTTTGGTCACCATACTACAAAAAAGATGTTGGGAAAAGTTCAGAAAAGAGCAACTAAAATGACCAAAGGGCCTAGAGACTAAAACATATGAAGAATGGCTGCAGGACTTGGGTTTGGCTAGTCTAAAGAAAAGAAGAAACAGGGGCAACATGATAGCACTATTCAGTATTTGAGGGGCTGCCACAAAGAAGAAACAGGGATGACATGATAGCAGTATTCAGTATTTGAGGGGCTGCCACAAAGAAGAGGGGGTCAAACTATTCTCCAAAGCACCAGAGGGCAGGACAAGAAACAATGGTTGGAAACTGACCAAAGAGAGAAGCAACCTGGAATTAAGGAGAAACTTCCTAACAATGAGGACAATTAGCCAGTGAAACAGCTTGCCTTCAGAAATAGTGGATATTTTAAAGAAGAAGCTAGACAGTCACTTGTCTGAGATGGTATAGGTTCTCCTGCTCGAGCAAGGGGCTGGACTAGAAGACCTCCAAGGTCCCTTCCAGCTCTATTCTATTCTATTCTATTCTAGTATTTGATAACATAATCATATCACTACTGATAACACTCATAGAAGCAGTACTTTATCTACAAGGGATAGTTGCTCAGTAGAATTTGTTTAGACGTCTTCCAAGTAACCATGCCTATGCACTTTTGATATTAACCACAAACTGATAAACCCCTGAGAATGTGGTGAAACTGAAATTTTTATGGAAGCTGTTTTAGATTTGGATACTTCAGGAAGCCTTAAGAGCCACTCACAGCAAGTATTAAGTGCTAGGAATGCTGGCACATCTATACTCTTAATATGGCATGGGAATATAGCTACTACCAATTGAATAGCTGAGATAGTTTTCTCTTAAAAAGGACCTTCTATGTCACATTATATTACATTATCATCAGCCTACACACCTTGATATTGATCTCAGTCACACCAAAATATCATTATGATGACATGTTTTAGCAAGAGCAGTATCAATGTTAGCTTGTTTCCTGTCCTACAATGGTTATGGTCACTTCATTATTTCCAAGCAAACTGAAATACAGGTAGTCCTTAATTTACAACCATTCATTTAGTGACTGTTGCAAGCAATGAAAAAAAGTGACTCATGACCATTTTTCATACAACTATTGTGGCATTCCCATGGTCAGGTGATCAAAATTAAAATGTCTGGCAACTGGTTCACATATTTTCCAAAGCGCCTGAAGGCAGGACAAGGAGCAACGGGTGGAAGCTAACCAAAGAGAGAAGCAACCTAGAACTAAGGAGAAACTTCCTGATAGTCAGAACAATTAACCAGTGGAACAACCTGCCTCCAGAAGCGGTGAATGCTCCAACACTGGGAGTTTTTAAGAAGAGACTGGACAGCCATTTGTCCGAAATGGTATAGGGTTTCCTGCCTGAGCAGGGGGTTGGACTAGATGGCCTCCAAGGTCCCTTCCAACTTTATTAATAATAATAATAATAATAATAATAATAATAATAATAATAATAATAATAATAATAATAATAATATTACTATTATTACTATTATTACTATTATTATTATTATTATTATTATTATATGTGACAGTTGCAGTATCCCAGGGTCATGTGATCACCTTTTGCAACTTTCTGACAAGCAAAGTCAATGGAGAAGCCAAACTCACTTCACAACCTGGTTATTAACTTAACAACTTCAGGCATCAACTTTTGAGTCTCTCTTCTGCCTTTTTTTTTCTTTTTCCCTTTTCCCCCTACGCTTTCTTTTTTTCCTTTTTTCCCTCCCCTAGTTCCCGTTAGTTTTTTATTTTCCTTTGCAATTTATATTCTGATAAATTAATACAATTTTGATATGACTAACTTAATTTCAATGATTCACTTCACATCTGTGGCAAGAAAGGTCGTAAAAGGAGGGAAAATTCATTTGACAAGTATCTTGCTTAGCAACAGAAAATTTTGGCTCAATTGTGGTCATAAGTCCAGGACTACCTGTACATATCAATGACAAAACAACTGTACATTCAACTGCCAACCAAAACCAGGAAAAACTAGATTCAAATCTCTTTTTGTCACACAAGCATTAATCCAAAGAGTTACTGTGAGAATCCAAAAGGAATATTTGGGTTTGGGCTTCTTTATGCCTGAAGGCAGGACAAGAAGCAACGGGTGGACACTAATCAAGGAGAGAAGCAACCTAGAACTAAGGAGAAACTTCCTGACAGTGAGAACAATTAACCAGTGGAATAACCTGCCTCCAGAAGCGGTGAATGCTCCAACACTGGAAGTTTTTAAGAAGAGACTGGACAGTCATTTGTCCGAAATGGTATAGGATTTCCTGCCTGAGCAGGGGGTTGGACTAGATGACCTTCAAGGTCCCTTCCAACTTTACTATTATTATTATTAGTTACATTTTTCACTGTGCTCTTTAATTATTGGAACTTGCAGAATCATTTGCATTTTCAGCTTTCAGACAAGTTGTTGGCATAGTGCAAGTTACTGATTTTCTTCCTTCAATTTTTAAAACCACCCTTATCTTCTTCTAATGCAACATTCCTCAATAGGTATTCAGTATTTAGGGTAAATAAACAAGAGAATAAAATACAATACTATCTTACTCCTTTGCTGACCAGAACCAAAGTTTCAGCAGTTTCTATTTGGACTGACCCATTATACATTTTGTATGCTCATTATGCCTGAGCACATTTTTGAGAAACCAGCATTATCTTTTAGAATTTGATGCCAAACACATAAAGCCATCAAATATGAATAAAAGCAGTTGTTATACTACTTGTCATTTTTTTACATATTTATTTTTCATTCCACAGAACTATATAGTATCATGTGTCCAATTTGATGAGGACAAAAGGGTTTTTTTAGATATTAGAGGTCAGTAGTAAATGATGGTCCATAATTTAGAGCAGGGGTGTCAAACTCAATTTCATTGAGGGCCGCATCAGCATTGCGGTTGCCCTCGGAGGGGGCGGGGATGTGTGGTCAGGGTGGGTGCGGCCTACTGGGTGGACATGGATGGAGTGGGTGTGGCCTACTGGGTGGGCATGGCCAGCTCTACATCATTCGCATCAAGGGTGCCTGTGGGGGCCTGGGCAGGAGTGGGACAGATCTGAGGGTCTCTGGCAGGTCCATTTCTTCATTCCTCACAAAGGGTGACACTTCCCCAGCATGCACCCAGGGGGCCGGGCCGACATAGCAGGCGCTGGTTCCTCACTGTTTCTAGACGGCCTTGTGGAGCTAAGACTAAATGTGTTTCAGCATAGAGGGCCACCACAAAATTGTACATTGGCTCCCGGCCGCCTGGGCCAGGGTCAAGGCAGTGGGGGCCGTTCCCTCACTGTTTCCAGGATGGCTTCGCGGGCCACATGAAACCACTTTGTGGGCCGCATCCGGCCCCCGGGCCTTGTTTTGATATGTTTGATTTAGAGGAATTATCACATAATGTATTTCTAATGGGCATTTGATTCATGAAAGTGTGATTACATAAAGCTACACAGAAGGTAATATTTACCCCAATTTCATTATATCTTTAATTTGTATACATAGTGTACATACCACATTAAAGCAGACTATTCAGTGTCAGTTTCAGGTGATGATGGGGACATATGGCATATGTGACAGTTTACATAAACCAATATAGAACAATTGAATTTGTATTGTTTAGAGCAGGGCTTTTCAACCAGTGGTACGGGTACCACCTGTGGTACATTGGCACCTGGCATGTGGTACGCGACCATCCTAAAAAAGTGGTAGCAGGGGAGGGGAATGAGCTGAACCGGTGGTAGCACCGCACAAGCCTGAGCGAGAGATGGCTGGAGCTGCAGGGCTATCAGGGCTCAGCGGAAGCGCCAGGATCAGTGCCGCTTTCCAGCTGATCGGTGCTTCGGGGCTGTCAGGGCTCAGTGGAAGCGCCAGGATCAGCACCAGGCTCCAGCTGGAGCTCGGCGCTGATCCTGGTGTTTCTGCTGAGCCCTGAAGAAGTGCCGATCAGCTGGAATGTTGCAGCATCTCCAGGGTCTTGTGATTTACATTCAGATGTTTGGCAACTGATTCATATTTATGACGGTCACAGTGTCCTAGGGTCATGTGAAGTGACCAAAACCTCCTGCAACCACCCAGCAGACGGGGGAATAAAAACCAAACAGCTCCCCACCCCCTCTGCCAATCCTCAACAGAAATGCTCACAACAATGAAAACCTTGGACAGGAGGAAGAGCGCTGCCGGGTGGGCACGCGGGTGTCTTGCTCAGCTGTGGCTTGGGGGGCACTTTTTCAGTGCCATTGTAACTTCGAACAGTCATTAAGCAAACTGTTGTAAGTCAAGGACTACCTATACTTTATCACTTTTTTCCTTTTTTTTTGGGGTCATCAAGTTTTTGACACCTTGTTAGGCGACTCAGATATTGCCATATCCTAAAAGTGGTCCAATGGGTGAAAAGGTTGAAAAGCCCTGGTTTAGAGAAGCTATGTTCTTTCCTATAGATAACAATTAAATGAGGTCAGTAATATTCTCCACATGGACTGGAGAACTGAGAAATGTTTATATTATGAGGCCTAGTTGACTTCAAAATACAAGCTAGATTTAAAACTGTGTCAAAGCTGATCCACAGTATTTAAAGACACACACACCTAGTGCAGATAACAGGCAATCTTGGTACTCTTAATAGGCCTCCTCTAACCATTGTAGTAATAAGAATGACCAGAAAAGACAGAGGAATACATATCTCCCTCATCTGCCTTTTTAAGACTGTTTTTTTCTGAAACCTATTTAGCATTCAGAATTTCAACATCCTCCTGTTGCCCAACAAGCAGTGCTTTTCAACTTCAGCAACTTTGAGATGTCCACACTTCAACTCCCAGAATTCCCCAGCCAGCATACTGATGACTTAGGAAATTTTGGGAGTTGAAGTCCAGGGCATCTTAAAGTCACCAAGGTGTGAAACGAACTGATGCATTTAGGAACCAAATGCTTAAACTCTTCCCCACCATCTTCCCATCAGCATGTTTTTTTTTTCTAAAGCAGGATCCCGCTGTCCATCTCCATCCGAAATATCTCCAATACTCCCATCTCCCAGAATCGTGAGCAAAGCCCCTGCTGACCAGGCAATCTCAAGTTTTAAGCCCATCCAGTTAAGGGTCCTTTTCTAACTACGAATATCACGGGGCCTGTTTCCTACCGGTGCAGCCACCGAGGAAGGGAGATGGCAGCACCGGGCCCGGCAGCTCCGAAGAAGGCACCGATCCAGCTTGGAGAGGCGACCCCCACCGCCAAGCCTCAGCGCTTCCTTCCCTGAGCCAGAGGCTGCGAGGAGGAAATCACCTCTGGAGAGAGGCGAAGCGCAGCGCGGGGGCTCCGGGAAGCCTCCCCTGCCGAGAAGCCTGAGTCACGCCGGCCTTGCGAGGCCTACCTTCTTGCTGGCTCCGCCAAGAGAGACCTTGGGCCTGGTCTTGAAATCCCCTTCGAAGCTGAACATGGTGCCCTCGGCCGCTTAGCCGCCCATCCGGAGCTCGGCCCGGCTTCCTCAGCCGGCGGGGCGAAGAATAGCCGAGGAGAGGACCTGACCTCGCGGGAAAGCCCCACCGTCACCCAGCCTCGCCCAGTCCACCACCACCACCACCACCCCCTCTCAGGCCCGAAGCGCCCTCCCCTTCGCGCCCCTTCCGGCTCCCTTTGGGAGGCTCCCGGCCGCAGCGGGCTGGCACGGGAAGGCTGGCAGGTCGGTGGCAGCGGGAGAAAAGCACCCGGCTCTCCAAAGAAGATGGCCGCCGACTGCAGTTATCGCGGCGCGCGCCCACCTGGTCTGCGCGCGCGCGCGTGGTGGTTTTTTTTTTGTGTGTGTATGTGTGTGTGTTTGTATGTGTGATTGTGTGTGATTGTGTGTGTCCACACATACCCCCCACCCCCAAATTAAGGAAGGGCCGCCACTCGCTCCGCCTGTCGGACCGGAGGAAGAGCGACGGGGAGGCGGGCTTGGAAGGCGGCGCTGAGACAGAATCTTCTCGTGGGCCCCGCCCTTTCCCGAGCTTGGATGTTTTCGCAAATGCGAACGGGCCGCCCAAGGCTCTAGACCTCATGGCGCGGCTAAAAATAAAACTAGAGGGGCATCTTAAAGGGGAATTTGATTTTGTTTCGCTTCTTTCTGGCAACAATCACGCATCCTCCTCCCGCAAAGCCACCTGCTCCGAAATTGTTGGTGAGATCAGGGCTTTCTAAATAAAAGCAGTTCTTAATTTGCTCACCTTCGGTTTTGATTGAAAGTATCATGGGTTGGAGTTGTGTGTGTGTGCATTGTACATAATGCGCCTTATATTTGCAGAATAGAATAGAATAGAATAGAATAGAATAGAATAGAATAGAATAGAATAGAATAGAATAACAGAGTTGGAAGGGATCTTGTAGGTCATCTAGTCCAACCCCCTGCCCAAGCAGGAGTTCCTACATCTTTTCTGACAGATGGCAGTCCAGTCTCTTCTTGAAAGCCTCCAGTGATGAAGCACCAACAACTTCTGAAGGCAAGCTGTTCCATTGGTTGATTGTTCTCTCTGTCAGGAAATTTCTCCTTATTTCCAGGTTGAATCTCTCCTTGATCAGTTTCCATCTGTTATTCCTTGTCTGGTGTTCAGGTGCTTTGGAAAATAGGTTGACCCCCTCCTCAAATATTGGAAGACTGCTATCATGTTTCCCCTGGTGCTTCTCTTCACTAGACTAGCCGTGCCCAGTTCCTGTAACCATTCTTCATATGTTTTAGCATCTAGTCCCTAGTCATCCTTGTTGCTCTTCTCTGCATTTTTTCTAGAATCTCAAATCTTTTTTATAGTGTGGAGACCAAAATTGGTTGCAGTATTCTAGGTGTAGTTTAACCTAGGTGAGTCTGTGCTGCCTCTTATTTTAATTCAACATAGGTCTCTTCAGGTTACTATAATGTGATAGAAGTGGGTTGAAACTGTACACCTGGAGGACAAAACATGAAGTTGCAAAGCTTTGGAGGGGGTGTTAAACTTAAAATATAATTTGATCACACGTGATGCTTTAAATTTAGAAGAAACAGAGCATAATTAAATTTACCTACTGTATTTCATCTATAAAATGTGGATTATTCTTTAGCATCTCTGCAAATATCAGCACCTAGCAGCTGACTTGGTCAATCTCCAATAGCTATGCAAGTTCATAAAAAATGGAATGAGGAGAAATCTCCAGGTGGCCCAATTTCCCTCTGAGTGCAAGATATGGTAAGATTTTCAGACAGATTATTGCTCTTGTCCGGAGGCCTCCAAAGAAGGGGAAAATTCACTTTCTGAGGCAGCCAGTTCCATTGGCTGACAGCTCTTAAGCCAGGAAATTTTTCCCAATATCTAACCTGAATTTCCTTCTCTACAGTTTTAAACTATTATTTTTGGTCCTGCCCTAATCCCATCCCCAGGTGACTGAGAATTTCCCTCCATCTTCTATTTGAGATACCTGCTCTCATCTCTGTCTTCCATCTTCTCTTCTGCAGACGAAGCACTGTGCATTTAATCATTCATCATAATGAATTGCACACATTTTTATGACTTTTTTTGCCACAGTTAAGTGAATCCAGCTGCACCGATTTACTTTCACAGAAGCCATCTGGGAAGGTCCCAGTCATGATCACATGACTGGGGACACCACAGTTATCAAAAATATATAAATAAAATTTGCCAAGGACCAAATTTTGATCATATGATCATGGGAATTGTATAATGATCATTAGTGCAAGGACCCTGTTATAAATCACTTTTTTCAGTGTCATTGTAACTGAGTGGTTGCTAAACAAATGGTTGTAAGTCATTTTGTAGTAAAGAGGTCTTCATCCTGCAGTGAACTGACCTGGATTGACAACAGTAAACATGTCCATGTTGCCAAAGCATGCAGAGTGGAAATCAAGTAAAACACAGTACTAAGTTGTATATATCAGGTCAATCATAATTTAAACTGCAAAGAGAATTGAATTCTGTTAGCTATAGGTTTAATCATTTTCTTCCATTGTTATCAAATATGTTTTTAAAGGAAGACTGAATTGCAAAAAAAATATAGGCTGAGCAGTTCCTTTTATAACCCTATCAATTCATCTGTCAAATTTTTATGAGATCAACTGATGAATGAGGTTCTGAGCCTAGGACAACACTTCATTAACACTAAACAAAGTTTAATGGTGTGGGCAGGATTAAATGATAAAGAAGCCCAATATAGAATAAGAACACCTCTAAGTTTGGATCAATGATTTTTTGGAAAAGATAAGAGGTAGAGGTAGTCTAACAATTGGTTGCTTAGCAACCAATCAAACTTAGAATGGACCATCCCGGGTAGTTCAGAGTTCCGACAGCCACACCCCTCCCTCACAGTCACATGATCACATTTTGGGCACTTGGCTACCAGCTTGTATTTACAGCTATTTGCAGCATCTTATAGTCATGTGGTCTCCATTTTTTGTGTTCTTTGCTAGTTTCTGGTGTTTACTTTTGGTTTCCAGAAAAAAACATCTATTGAGTATAATGGATTCATCTGACAACTAGTATATTTGCTTACTGATTACAAAGTTTGTTTGATGACTGCAGCATTTGTTTAACAACCATTACAAAACTCACAAAATCAGGCTCGGACTTGTGGTAACCCACTTAACAACTGATACTGCTTACAACCATAATTCCAGGTCAATTATAGGCAGTCTTCAAGACACAACTGAACTCTCTGTCCTCCAATCTCAACTCCTTTTAACCATCCAATTTGCTCAATTTACTGGATGCCTGGAAAGAAGGTGACAAAATCTGAAGGTATTTACCCTGATGAGTGACTGCCAAGAGGAAAGGAAAGGAGGAAAAACTTTCTGCAGCTTGTTTGCATTAAGGAGCTGAAGAAAAAGTTCAGCTTAAAAGAAAAAGCAGCTAGATCACAACACAGGGAGCAAATAGCCATTGTAGAAGAAGATTTTGAAATGTCTTTGCTGCTTGTATGATTCCCTTTCGAACCCAGTTGGGACTCCTCTAAATGCAGACAAGCAGCAGAAATTCAATTTCTGTTGAATTGCAGTAAATTTAGCAAATGAGGTGGGTAAAAGGGATACAGAGTGGAAGGCAGAGCCAGAGAATTCCAGCACCTAATGGGGGGCGAGAGAAAAATTAATAGGTCTGTCCCACATTCCCCCCCCCCCCGCTTGTTCTCTTTATTGAAGAAATGTGGCTTTCTCTGGGAGTGAGGGGGATTAAGCAAAGAAAGATCATGGGAAGCTTGTGATGAAGCTACTGTCTTTCTTTGCAGACAGGCAGGTGGCTTCCCTAACGCCTAGCAAGATTCAGGAGAGATTTGCCGTTTCCCTAAGGCCAGCTTGATCAGGGCAGAGGATAGGCCCATAGATGGGGCCTCTTTAGCCAAGCCCAGAGATTTGTTTGGAAGCCTCTCTGGCATTGGGATGCAGCACTACAGTAGGCCCCAATCTACAGTAGTGGCCAAAATTGTGGAAACCTTTTGGGAAAAGTGTACAGTAGAAATGCCAACTTTGGTTAAGTTTCCGCCAATTTTTCTTCTAATTTCTTTATGACTGTAGCCTTGTTCACTTAATAATACTATTTTACATCGCTTTCTGGGCAACAGTCAACTCTTTGCACCATTACTTTAATTTTATTACGTTTTACAAGCTCACTAAATGAAAGAACACAAAAAACCCCAACAAATTTGATAGCGATCACATAACACAGTGACAAATGTCCTCCTCTCAGCTTCAATACAGGACATCAGTAACTGAATCCTACTGTGATCCGATTGGCTCATTGCCAAAACAAGATGACACCTGATTGGCTCTCTAAACGCTCACGCTCATTGGCTACAATCAGATGAAAGAAAGCTACCTGATATCAACCTAAGCAAGTTGTGCTTCCTTTTTCTGGTTATTTGGCTATAACTTTTCATAGAATACAGTACAGATAATTGAACAAACTATGTTGCATTATATTCTTGATTAAATTATCTTTCCATTGATATATAATTTTATGGTACCACTCCCAAAAAAAGTGGTGTTATTAGCCATCAAACCTCAAAAATACACTTTTCCCAAAAGATTTCCACAATTTTGGCCACTACTGTAGCTAGGCTCTTACTCCCTGTGAGCTGTTTCCAGCTTTGCAAACATTTTGCTACCTGTCTGCTTTCTTTATTGACCCAGCTGGGGGGCTGAGCCTCCCCCATGCATTGGGTTATCCCATGCTTGTTTAACAACTTAATACAGGTAGGATTAGGTCATAATGATCATAAAGTCATTTTTTTCAATACCGTTGTAACTTTGAACAGTCACTAAATGAATTGTTGTAAGTTGACGATTACCTATAGTGGCAATCAGGCAGAGCAGGGGGTGGGGGTCGTTAAGCAAGTCTGTCTCATTAGTTGCTACCACTTCTAACCATAATGGGCAAGATCCATTGAGGAACCACCTGTAAGTTAAATACTATCTGTATCTCATTCAAATG